GGTATAGTACGTGTTTGGTATAGTACGTGTTTGGTATAGTACGTGTTTGGTATAGTACGTGTTTGGTATAGTACGTGTTTGGTATAGTACGTGTTTGGTATGGTACGTGTTTGGTATGGTACGTGTTTGGTATAGTACGTGTTTGGTATGGTACGTGTTTTGTATAGTACGTGTTTGGTATAGTACGTGTTTGGTATAGTACGTGTTTGGTATAGTACGTGTTTGGTATAGTACGTGTTTGGTATAGTACGTGTTTGGTATAGTACGTGTTTGGTATAGTACGTGTTTGGTATAGTACGTGTTTGGTATAGTACGTGTTTGGTATAGTACGTGTTTGGTATAGTACGTGTTTGGTATAGTACGTGTTTGGTATAGTACGTGTTTGGTATAGTACGTGTTTGGTATAGTACGTGTTTGGTATAGTACGTGTTTGGTATGGTACGTGTTTTGTATAGTACGTGTTTGGTATAGTACGTGTTTGGTATAGTACGTGTTTGGTATAGTACGTGTTTGGTATAGTACGTGTTTGGTATAGTACGTGTTTGGTATAGTACGTGTTTGGTATAGTACGTGTTTGGTATAGTACGTGTTTGGTATAGTACGTGTTTGGTATAGTACGTGTTTGGTATAGTACGTGTTTGGTATAGTACGTGTTTGGTATGGTACGTGTTTGGTATAGTACGTGTTTGGTATAGTACGTGTTTGGTATAGTACGTGTTTGGTATAGTACGTGTTTGGTATAGTACGTGTTTGGTATAGTACGTGTTTGGTATAGTACGTGTTTGGTATAGTACGTGTTTGGTATAGTACGTGTTTGGTATAGTACGTGTTTGGTATAGTACGTGTTTGGTATGGTACGTGTTTGGTATAGTACGTGTTTGGTATAGTACGTGTTTGGTATAGTACGTGTTTGGTATAGTACGTGTTTGGTATAGTACGTGTTTGGTATAGTACGTGTTTGGTATAGTACGTGTTTGGTACGTGTTTGGTATAGTACGTGTTTGGTATAGTACGTGTTTGGTATAGTACGTGTTTGGTATAGAACGTGTTTGGTATAGTACGTGTTTGGTATAGTACGTGTTTGGTATAGTACGTGTTTGGTATAGTACGTGTTTGGTATAGTACGTGTTTGGTATAGTACGTGTTTGGTATAGTACGTGTTTGGTATAGTACGTGTTTGGTATAGAACGTGTTTGGTATAGTACGTGTTTGGTATAGTACGTGTTTGGTATAGTACGTGTTTGGTATAGTACGTGTTTGGTATAGTACGTGTTTGGTATAGTACGTGTTTGGTATAGTACGTGTTTGGTATAGTACGTGTTTGGTATAGTACGTGTTTGGTATAGTACGTGTTTGGTATAGTACGTGTTTGGTATAGTACGTGTTTGGTATAGTACGTGTTTGGTATAGTACGTGTTTGGTATAGTACGTGTTTGGTATAGTACGTGTTTGGTATAGTACGTGTTTGGTATAGTACGTGTTTGGTATAGTACGTGTTTGGTATAGTACGTGTTTGGTATGGTACGTGTTTGGTATGGTACGTGTTTGGTATAGTACGTGTTTGGTATAGTACGTGTTTGGTATAGAACGTGTTTGGTATAGTACGTGTTTGGTATAGTACGTGTTTGGTATAGTACGTGTTTGGTATAGTACGTGTTTGGTATAGTACGTGTTTGGTATAGTACGTGTTTGGTATAGTACGTGTTTGGTATAGTACGTGTTTGGTATAGTACGTGTTTGGTATAGTACGTGTTTGGTATAGTACGTGTTTGGTATGGTACGTGTTTGGTATGGTACGTGTTTGGTATAGTACGTGTTTGGTATGGTACGTGTTTTGTATAGTACGTGTTTGGTATAGTACGTGTTTGGTATAGTACGTGTTTGGTATAGTACGTGTTTGGTATAGTACGTGTTTGGTATAGTACGTGTTTGGTATAGTACGTGTTTGGTATAGTACGTGTTTGGTATAGTACGTGTTTGGTATAGTACGTGTTTGGTATAGAACGTGTTTGGTATAGTACGTGTTTGGTATAGTACGTGTTTGGTATAGTACGTGTTTGGTATAGTACGTGTTTGGTATAGTACGTGTTTGGTATAGTACGTGTTTGGTATAGTACGTGTTTGGTATAGTACGTGTTTGGTATAGAACGTGTTTGGTATAGTACGTGTTTGGTATAGTACGTGTTTGGTATAGTACGTGTTTGGTATAGTACGTGTTTGGTATAGTACGTGTTTGGTATAGTACGTGTTTGGTATAGTACGTGTTTGGTATAGTACGTGTTTGGTATAGTACGTGTTTGGTATAGTACGTGTTTGGTATAGTACGTGTTTGGTATAGTACGTGTTTGGTATAGTACGTGTTTGGTATAGTACGTGTTTGGTATAGTACGTGTTTGGTATAGTACGTGTTTGGTATGGTACGTGTTTGGTATAGTACGTGTTTGGTATAGTACGTGTTTGGTATAGTACGTGTTTGGTATAGTACGTGTTTGGTATAGTACGTGTTTGGTATAGTACGTGTTTGGTATAGTACGTGTTTGGTATAGTACGTGTTTGGTATAGTACGTGTTTGGTATAGTACGTGTTTGGTATAGTAGTAGTACGTGTTTGAATACTTTTCCCACAACAACGTAATATTATTCATACAGTTCATGTTAATTACTAATTAAGTGATTCGAATTATGTATATATTTAATATTTTACCAAAACCCATAATCATGGGTAGAGTGGACCGCTGCCAGTGTCTCTCTTTCCCAAACAAAAGGAAATGATATTAATTTGATTGACCGTTCTCTAATGCAAAATGATACCGAGAATGAAATCGGTCGCTCGCTTTTCCCATTCATTCACGGCTTACAATCAATCACATGCTGTAAAAATTCCTTTGGGTTGCGTTCGGGTCGATATACCTAGTATTTCGGGATAAGGGTGGTACTGGTAGTTAGTGAATTAGCTGAAGTTTATTGAATCTTTATTGCTGAGTACAGCTGCCTTCGGGTAGTTCTTCTTAATCTATTACAATTGTAAATTAATGGGAAAAGCGAGCGACCGATTTCATTCTCGGTATCATTTTGCATTAGAGAACGGTCAATCAAATTAATATCATTTCCTTTTGTTTGGGAAAGAGAGACACTGGCAGCGGTCCACTCTACCCATGATTATGGGTTTTGGTAAAATATCATCTCTTTTTGATTATAATGTCAGGGTACTTTATAAAGTCGAAATATAAACTGATGTCTTCAACGATTTCGAAATTTTTCCTTTAAAACATTTCCTTGTGTTTAAGTAAGCATATCGGTCTATCACTGACTGAACATAAAACATTATAATCATTCAAGTTGCCATTAAATTCATATATAATGACATTGAACTGTCGTGGTAAAGCAGAATTTGTTCGAAATCATGAATGAGCAAAATTCTCACCGTTCGCACGTGCAAACTTTGAGCGGACGTTGCGTACGCATCCAATACTGAATCGCCGTAAATTTTTGCATAGCGGTATTTTATATATAGTTTGATAAGCGTGCAAAGTTTCAAAAGATTTCAGATAGAACTTGGATCACAACGGGACTCCAAAGTTGATAAAAATCGTGAAAACACCAATTTTCAGTGATTTTAGCAATTTTTAATCAATTTGGGCGTGTCCCCACGTGTGCAACTTTTTGATTTTCAACTTTAAAACTAGCCTAATGCACAATTTATACCTATAGGAAGCAGAACTGAGCTCCACAACCCAAGAGATAGCCCAACACCAGAGAATACTAAATCGCAAAATTGACGTTTTTATAAAATAATTTTTCAAAAAAGCACTAACTTCAAAGGCAAATATCTTTATGAAGGAGTAAGATAAGAAAACTTTCCGGTAGATTTTCAGAATGCTTAAACAAATATCTAAGATGAAAATTTCCTCAGATGTTGAAAAAAATTACTTTTAAATGGTGTTACATCAATTTTAAAAGTTATTACTTTGTCGAAAATCAAGTTTTAAAAACGGTTAACTTGATGACGTCATCAAGGGGTGTTTATGACGTCAAATAATTTTTTTATACAATGTAAACTAAAGTGTAAACGATTATTTTCAAGACCTGTGGTCGGAAATGGCTGTATCTTTTATACTTTTGAATCTGTGGACACTTAAATTTAGGATACAATTGACTACATTTGACTGTCAAAGCGTCTATCCCTGAATATGTATGTATATATCACGACAATCTGTCGTAAAACAGGGGTTCTAGAAAACCCACTTCCCAATGCTCCTGAAACTTGAAACTTTTTTTGTAGTCGATTTGGTCAACGTTTAGACGCCCTGCAAAGTTTAAAATCTCTAACTCAATTTTAACATGGTTTTTAAGGCACCTGAATATGGCAATTTTCGGTTTTTTACCGAATTTCGTATAACATGCTGGCGCGAATTTTGCGCAAATTTCTTAAAAAACCTCCACATAACTATTTCTTATTCCTGTCATCTTTGACATTGAATTAGAATGTTTTGAACTTAAATATACCTGCTGAACTACTTTCGATGAGTCTTAATGCCTGAAAAACAATAAAGGGGTATAATAGTAAAGGGGGTATAATAGTAAAGGGGGTAAATAGTATTGTGAATATAAAAGGCACGGTCATGCTTGCCAGCATTGTGATCAAATTTGCTAAGCCTACTTTCTCTCTCTCTTTTTAGTCACGTAAGCATGATTTCCCTCCTACCCAAGCTCAGGACTGGCTACGTGGCATAATCGGTTGTTTTAGTGTTTTGCTTTTGAGAATGCTGAGTTGCTTGCGAACATAGCTTTTACTTACTGGGCGGCGCTCAGCCTGTCATTCCGCCGAATCTTTATATAATAGCCTGGGATCCCCAGGTAAAGCTTTTACCCAGTCCGCGGACCAGTTCTTGCTCTTTATATCTTAGGGGGACGCCAAATCGTCGTTTGAATGTGGGAAAATTTCGAAAAGAATCTTACGACTGCAGAAAAAAATAAATATAAATAAAATAATTTGTAGTACAAATTATTTTATAAATTATATTATAAAATGAAGCAAGGTCAGTACACACTACACAGTAACTGTGAAGTAATATTAAATTAGAGAAGGTGGAGTTAACGAATTAGTAAAGTAGAATTAAAGAAAAGTAGAGTAGAGTGGAGTGAAAAGTAAAGAAAAGTCAATATAAGATAAACTTGTCACTATATAGTTCTGTCACTATAAAGTGCGTTTTGCACGCTATATTGTGACAAATATCAGCTGTCATTATAAAGTGCTCGTCACTATATAGTCCTGTCACTATATAGTGCGATTACCGGGTAGATTAGGAGGGATTATTTTAGTTTTACGGGAAATTGAATAAAAATTGAATTAAGTAATCAAGCTTTCTTGGAAACGCGTAGCACCAGTATAGACATGGGTTTAAGTATAAGTATAACTTACAAGTAATTATCAGGGTACCAACTACAACATCACGATTGGGAAATTTAATTATTTCTCCCCAAGAATTTTACCTGGTAACCTCGATCGAGGCTTCTCTGTTCATAAACATATTGAATAAATATTGGAATGACAATTGATAGGCCGAGCGCCGCCCAGTAACAAGAATTTGGATAGTATTAATTTGTTTATATGCTCTCTCGTACCACAATTAGAAAGTCTATTATTTTACTCTTAGTTCCAAAAAATTATTTATTTTTTCCTCTCGTAAATAATTGGCACTAATAAATGTTTGCATTGCATTGACACTTTTATTTGTCACTGACACTATACAATATACATGTAGTTAAACTTAAATTATTTCATGTTCAATTCCATTGGAAATAGTTTTCAACCAAAACACAAAATTGGGTAATAATAATAATATAAAGTGCATGGAACGTAACAAAAGTTTCCTTTTTCCAAAGAAAAGGAAATGATATCAATTTAAATTACCGTGGAGGGGGATCATTTAAACATTAAAACATATAAGTGATACGAAAAGATTGTATTAGCAGGAGCTTTCAAAATACATGTGTTAATCGTCTTCTTAAATTACCGTTTCTGTACTAAACGCGAAATGTTGCCGAGAATGAAATCGGCCGTGAATGATTCAGAATAAGAAAAGCGAACGACCAATATAGACTGAAGTGTTTTTTCACATTATCTGGCATCCTGAGGATAGAAATAGCCGCAGAGATATAATGATGATATGTTTATCTTATAGAAACATAGTATGTCCGCAGGCTAGGTTATCGTCAAGGAAAGCGTTACCTTATACTGTTGATGTTTACTGAACGGCTAGGAAAGATTCGTAGATTCCTCTACTGGGTTAACTTCCGGTTACCTGATTAAGATTTGTACCCCCATACCATTGTCGTGACCGGATGATGATTAATCACTCTACACTCAACTGTCACGTGACTTTTTCAACTCGTTCTCTAGCTGGCCCTGAACGACTATTCGAAACCCTAACCCTTTGATCTGATCCCAACCCTAACCCTAATCCAATCCTTAACAAAAGCATATGCTGAAACCCTAACCCTAACGAGAAATTAGACTAACTTCCTTATACGGACGTGAGACAGTTTTTCGCCAAGATCTCGTCAAGGGAAATTGTAACCCTATGTCATGGGGGGGGGGGGGGGGGTGATTCGGAATCAGCTTCCGAAAATGCATCAATAGTAGTTGGTTTCAACTGTCGGGGGCCCATTTAGAACAATCTCGAAGATCGACTGTATAGTGATTTAGCACGCTCGTTCGTGACCCCCGTACCATCATGTCGTGACCCCCATACCTTTGTCGGTCCAGGATGCAAACGTGAGGTAAAGTACGTGTTTGAATAATTTTCCCACAACAACGTAATATTATTCAGACAGTTCATGTTAATTACTAATTAAGTTATTCGAATTATGTATATATTTCATATCAAATTTGCTAAGCCTACTTTCTCTCTCTTTTTAGCCACGTAGGCATGATTTCCCTCTTATTCAAGCTCAGGACCATGGCTACGAGTACGTGGCATAATCGGTTGTTTTAGTGTTTTGCTTTTGAGAATGCTGAGTTGCTTGCGAACATAGCTTTTACCAAGTCCGCGGACCAGTTCTTGTTCTTTATATCTTAGGGGGACGCCAAATCGTCGTTTGAATGTGGGAAAATTTCGAAAAGAATCTTACGACTGCAGAAAAGAAAAAAATTCAAGAAATCCTCCAGAAACTGCAGAATGTTTAAGGGCTGTTCCACACCACACTTGTTTCATTGAACCATTCAGTCGGCTACTAGCTAATTTATCATTCGATCCCACCGCCAGCTCATTTCCGAACTTGTGTCTTATTTTAAAATAAGGTCAGATAAGGTAGTTAAAATATCATTAATTGAATTTAATTTCCAAAAATGCAGAAATATTCAGTCTGGAGTCATGACTAATCCTTAAAGTTAATAAAATTAATATCGGTAAAATTCGAACTTCGAAGATAAAAATAGAAAACTTTGAAAGCATTATCGTGTGCTTTTATATTGCATAATGATTTGTTATAGAATCAATTGCAATATTGGCATTGCTCATATTTCATCGATAAATGTTCTCTAAGGCCTATTGTTTCCCTGCAGAGAATTATAATTACGTATCAAGCTTTACTTCGTGATCATTCTGCATTCTTGATATACAATATACATCTGCATCGAAATTCCGGGGTCCGAGTAGATTGTAGAACGTTAACAGCGATACAAAGTTAAGGTTATTCCTCTTGACATATGACATGTCGTGTACGTAGCCTATCAAGAAGGGTTGGAGAAAGTGGTCAGTCTATCTCTTGACTCTTACAGCTTGCTATCAATAAAATGAAGAGTGAATATTCACTTCTGCTTGAGGGAGATTGTTGTTTCTTTACCACAGTCTTGATAATGTCTTTAACTAACTCAGTCTCTCCTGTATTCAGTTGTAGATTACCTAGCTCCGAGTCATCCAAAACTTCGTTCACTGCATCAGTTATCCGGTCATATCTCTTCAACATACTACTACTAGTACTACACACTACACAGCAAGCTCGAACAGGTTTTGCAAACATGACAAACAAAGAAACAGATTATAAAAATATGTTAAATTTAGGCTATTTTCCCCTTTTAAAAAATGGTTGATTATCGCGATAATTCTCGAGAATTATCGCGATAATCGATAACAATTTTTGGCAAATTATCGCCGATAATTATCGGCCGGTAATATCGGTTGGCAACCCTACTAGTTTGATAATAGACCCTCCTTTCAATGAGAAGCATAGTCCTTAATTAGAAGAGATTGTTATTTAATACCTATAATCATCATAATTTATAACTATAAGGTTGAACGGTACCATAAAAGCATAGCCATAAAGCAATGTTTTGGTATTTCAAAAATTAAAAATTACACGCCTCCTACAAACTCAATTTGTTTTAGCTTTAATTCTCTTGGCTTTTTATTATTTCTTATCTTTGTAAAACTTTTTCCTACCCTTTTAAGATATTGCAAATATGTGATCCCGGCACTCGGTCATAACTCGGTTAAATTGAGAACAATCAACTTGAAATTTTGGGAAAGCACTTCAATTATCAAATCAAATGTGTCTAAAAACTTTGAAGATCCTAGCTGAAAGCGTTCTCGCTTTATGGTGACAATAGTGAAAAAGAGGGAGTGCCGTTCCACACCCACTGTTAATAATTAAGTTTAACGAAACTTTCAGGGAATCTACGTTTGACCCATAGCTATAATTTCTGAAATTTCTGTGCAATTCTAAGAAGAATAACGTGAATTATTAAAAGGTTGCGTGTGGGCAGTTACTTTTGGGCCACCCTGTAGTAGCGCATTTGTTCTTATATTATCGTTATTTTCATCTTATCAAACTAACTGTTATCTTATGCTCTTATGATATTTTAAAACAAAACAGGTGCCAACATGGGAGTTGAAATGAATAGTCCACGAGTAACAAATTGCGGGCTATGGGGTTGGAGACCATCTTTTTTAAAGGTTTGGACAACATTCCAACTTTCAATAGAAAATTGAGTTCATTGATTATTTGGCATTGATGACCTGTTGTTAATATTTGCTTGTCCAGAAAATGACAGATAAGAGAGTAAGAGTTAACAGTGATTTATTATTTCTCGACTTTAACCTAACGAGGGTGTGTAGAAATTGTAACATTGTCATGTTTCAGATATTCAACACACCTAATATGTACCTGGTCCTCTTCTCCATATCCTCTTTCGCAATAGCCGTAACTCTGGGTATGAACCAAGTGCTGATACCAACCCTTCAGGAACTCTTCAACTTGAATTCAAAGCAAATTGGTAAAAATTGATAATTTGGGATATTTTGACTATTTTACTTATCGAAAGATTATAAATGGTTGCAAATGGCAAATACTTTAGTCGAACAGAGTTAAAATTCAAGCAAAAGCAAGTTTTAATACTTTAATACGCTCTAGAAATTGATTCAAATTTGCAACTTTATTTGCATCCCACCTAGGTTTGATTCTCATCGCAAATGATTTATCTGGTCTTGTTGTGGCGTTCTTATTCGGGCATTTTGCCAGCAAAGGAAAGATAAAGTGGTTACTTTTCGGGGTGATAGTCAGCTTTATAGCAAATCTGTTGCAAAGTGGTACACAGCTCTTTGTCAAGGTATGATAAAATCATGTGGAACTAGATAGTTAGATGTATGGTATACTGGGTATAGTGAGCCTCCAATCTAGTTATCTGGTTGGATCTTAAGTCAATTTAATGGTCGTACCAAGTTGCTCCATCGAAGCCAACTGCTGATAGTGACAAAAATTTAAAATAGTATCATAATCTGATCAGGTATTCCAAATGAGTATCTTAATATAATCATCTTAGCTTCCTGAACTGACAAGCAACGTGACTGAATCTAGCGGAACAGAAGAAAAAGTGATGTGCACACTTAATGATGGAGATAATGTAAACTCAGTGATAGAGTCAACATTTTATGCTGTTCAGAATAACAAATTGTTCTGGATCCTTTTCTTGGCCGGAATATTGCAGGTAAACATTTTGAAAGATATTTCTTAAAGAATATAATAAGAAGCACTTATAGAGTTTTGCAAAGCAAAGAATGGTAGTCGCACAAAAGAGTTGGCTTCCAACTTATCAAAAAACACAAGTACATGAAACCTATACACATATTCTATAACTGAAATTTATCAATTTTAAATCAGGGTATAGGAACATCTCAAGCAATTTGTGGCATAACGTATCTAGACGAAGTTATGACGAAGAAGAAGCTTGGTCCGTCTATTGCTGTTGCTAGCATTATAGGTCTGCTGGGGTATACAGCCTCATATCTGTTTGGAGCATATCTCCTGACACAGTATGTCACCTTGGGTACACCCCCAGATGGAGTGACACTAGGGAGCAGTCATTGGGTGGGCGCATGGTGGATGGGGTACCTAGCACCTGGACTCTTGCTTGCTCTTTCTGGGATACCCATGATACTGTTCCCTACGCAGATGCCAGCAGCCAAGGTTTGATTAATCGATATGTTTACAGAGGGCCTGTCGTGATATCATGGACCCGCTTAGGTTACACCAGGATCTGGTAGTCCTCATAATTCTGCGGCCTCTATGTATCGTCATCTCGCACAACTCCGAAAAGGGCCTAGCTGCCTGCTGGGTTTCAGAAGGTGATACCTGATCAATATGCAGCAATAATTGCGCAGCTCCTATAATTGGATCCAATTAATAAATAAATTATTAATTTATTTATTGTTTACTTGAAGTTTAATGTCTAGGGATGGCATAAAATTAAATGAAATATGATTTAAGCCCAGAAAACCTTACCGCCTGCTGGGCTTGCTAGAGGTGATAGATTTTCAACAGCACGTTTGGCGTCGCGCGTCACATCGAGTTTACCTTTCACACGCTGCATTTAGTTTAGTAGTCATGACAACGACATGACTTTGCAAAGTTTAAAAGCTGCAATCTTTAATTTAGCCAAAAATCAAACTTTTCGGTTTAATTCAGAATCTAAATTGTCCCCAATTGTGCTCCTGGGGAGCCTCCTTTAAATTTACGAGACGGACATTTTGTTGAAAACCGGAAGGTTCTATCTATTTTACTTTTGGAGATATTGCCCGGCCGGTAGGGTTTGCTGGGAGATCAGATAGGAACTAAGACTAAACAGAAACACTAAAGAAAACTTAGTTACATTGTAGATTGTTCTACGAGAGAAGATAGATAACGGGAAGGCAAGTCAACAAGAAAAGGACTTTGAACTGAACCGATCATTCAAGAAGCTTATAAAGGACTTATTACCCACTCTGAAACGTCTCATGAAAAACAAGGCTCTGTTGTTTCTTCTTGTAGGTGAAGCTCTTAACAACATATACGTCTCTTCCATGGCATATGATACCAAATTATTGTCGCAACTGTTCAAGTGAGTCTGGGGGAAAGTATTATTATTATTATTACAGGGTGGGCCAAAAGTCAGTACCCATACGTTGGCCTTAATAGCGCCGCCGTGTTTTATATTTGAGAGCTGTTGCTTTGCAGATGGCATACTGTACTTACTGGTTCGAGGATTCCGTCGTCAAAATTTGAAAATTCGAATATTTTAGACCACGCCCATTCAATATTAAAACACCTATATTGTTTTCTCTGAACATGCTCAACGCCTAATTTTTTTCGGAGACGGTAGATTATCAAATGTTGCATATGATCTGAAAACATGAGGCAAAACGAATTAGAAATGACGAAGTTATCAAGCATTTTCTGTATCTCGTTAACAAAATTGACTGGGTGATTATGTGACACCGTGACACGACACCTTAATTGGGCACCTTTAACGATTCCCATAATGTTTAACGGGGTAGTTAACGGGGTCACCTTATCACGTGATTAGGTAAACCAATCACCTGAGCACACGTAATGAATAAACTCGTTATGCTTCATATCTCGGTCATCTGAAAAGCTACAGTTCTAATTCTTTCAGGACAAACGTAATTCGAATGGCCAAACACAATTCAATAACATTTAGCTTGATCCGACTATCCAAACTATCAAATAAATGTGAAAATGAACCTCTATTTGAAAAAAATGAACGCGAATATTTTTCGAGTTGACAAATTCCTCGAACCAGCATGGTGGTACTAAGTCATACCAGAAGGAAGTATTTAAATTGGGCACTCAGTGACTGAGCTATAAAGGCCAACGTATGGGTACTGACTTTTGGCCCACCCTGTATAAAACAGGATCTTACCGACAAAAATGATTCTTAAAAATACCTTAATGCGGTAAACTGTACCCTTGAAAAAGATTTTCCCAACATATGTTGCATGCAGCTATATCTCTAATTTCGTTCAATTCATGCAAGTTGTCCATTTGCAAATTTCTACTACTTAAATCACTTCTTAAAACCGATAACAAGTTCATTCTAGGTCTCCCCAATCTACCAATGAATAAATTATCTGATTCAATAGCAAAAGAGAGAGCCGTTTGGGCTGGGGTGTTCTCCATACTCCTGAGAATGTGTCCAAACATCTTCCACCGCTGGTGTTCAATACGCTTGGATAACTTTTCAACTTTGCACCTTTCATACAATGCTTTGTTGCTTATCATACCTTTAGGCCATTTGATGTTTAAAATGGACCTGAGGTGTCTACGATGGAGTGTGTCCATTTTCTCCATGGTTGCTTTCTTAGGACTCCAACTATTTGAGTTGTAAATCAATACAGATACAACTTGAGCATCATATAACCTCAGCTTTCTTTCAAGGGAAATTTTCTTACCGGACAACCATACTTTTCCAAAGTTCTTAAAAGCAATCTCAGCTAGGATTCTCCTTTTTTGAATGTCCTTCTCAGTACAGTACACAGTAACTTAAGGAACCTAGTGACTTGTTACTTCGCCATGGTTCGTTATTAGCTAGTGGCTGACCGTTTGTGTCTTTATCAGATTTTTTCGCCAGGTAGAAGGTACTGAATTCAGTTTTACTTTCATTTACTTGGAGGTTCCAGTCTTTGAGAATCTCCTTCACTGTAGGAAGGAAAATTCTCAGTTTCTCGATGTCCTCGTCAGCAAAGTCACAATCGTCTGAATATTCCCACTCAGTTGGAAAACCTAGTTCTGATACTGGTGGGTTTGGTCTCCCAGATACAGCTCTGAGGTGGTGTAAGGCTGCTGCAAGAATAAGTGTGAATAGCTTTCCAGATAAACTGTCACCTTGAAAGGCTCCGAGTAAACTTACAAACTCTTCCGACAGTGAGGAGTTAACACGAACTCTAAGGAGAGTATTCGATAGAAGGTATTGAACTAAGCGAATGTCGTCCTCCGAACAACCAGCATCCTTCAAAACATTGATGATAGTGTCCCTTTTCACGATATCAAAAGCTCTACTCATATCAATACCCATTTTGCTAAATGTCCATTTCTTCCTCATCACAACAGATATTAGCATTCTCTGAGCCCACACAATGTCAGAGCAGCTCCTACCTCTCTTGTAAGCACTCTGCCATGGCATGGTGTAGTTGTCAATTCTACTCTCAACCCGTTTTAAGGCAATTTGAGTGAGCATCTTCCTTGATCCGTTTAACAGTGTAAGTGGTCTAAGGCTTGTGAGGGGACCTTTAGGTTTACCGGGCTTCTGTAGAGGAGTCACAATACCTTGTCCTATTGAACTTATGTATTTGTTCCCACTAAATGACTCGTTAATTGCCTCAGCATACTTCTCAAAAGTGATTGGATGGGCGTACTTTATCAACTCATTCTGGAGATTATCTGGACCACTGGCACGGTTTGATTTGAGTTTACTTGCAGCAAGTTCAGCTTCAACTGGTGTAGTGGGGTTATCAAGTGGTTTTGGATCGCAGGTAAAAGGTTGCAGGCCAGCTTCAACTCCTTCTGTTAGTTGTTTTTCGAAGAAAGATTTCGCTGTGTTTGCTTTCCCTAAATCAGTACCAATAGGGTTGTTGTTGATATCATTGACCACTATGTTACCCGACTTTTTTATTCCAGCTAAAGATCTTGAAGCTTCAAACATCTTTCTAGCATCGTCAGTGTTATTTATTTCTTCTGCTAGAGCGTCAGCCTTCATGTTATTTATTTGCACAAGTCTCTTAGAAATGCTATTCTGAATCTTTCTTACTGCTCTCCTATCTCCACTAACATCACTACCATTTGGGGCTGATTTGATCTTTAGAGTCTGATCACGCTTTTTAGCAACTAATGAAGCTACTGTTAGATCACTGGAGAAATTTTGTTTAGAGGATTTCCCTTTCAGGGGTATAGTTTCTTCAGCACACGCACGTATGTCACTAAAAAGTTCATTCATTTTCTCATTTGGGTCATCTGGATAAGTTTTACCCGATAACCTTTCAGCAATCGCACTTTGATATTTCTGTCTGAGTTCTTTATCCCTGTAGAGAGTTGAACAGTCAAACTGAGTGCTATCTGATTTTTTGGTTTTGTGAATGAGAACATGATTTTTCAGCGTTAATCGAGTTACAACAGGTTTGTGATCAGATCGTAACTCAGCGCCTCCGTATGATCTGCTGTCCTTTATTAAAACCGTAGACCTCCTCCTGCAAAGCACATAGTCAAGTTGAGCGTATATAGGAGTATTTCTCTTAGTCCTGTGTTCACCAGTCCAAATTAGTTTGTGCCTACTTGGATGATCAAACAAAGTATTGCATGCTGTTAGGTCTTCTTTAACCATAAATTCAAGCAAATGCTCCCCATTTTCATTTAATCTAGTCCCAATACCATGTCTACCTATCAAACCTTCCAGAACTAATTGTTCATCAACCCTAGTTCGTTTACCCAGCTTTGAGTTAAAATCTCCGCAGTGGAACATTTCCCATTTTGATGGAGTAGATGATACATTGTGTAAATCTCTATAGAACTGAGACAGTTTGTCAGGCTGTTGTTGAGCACGAAGAGATGTGAGACCATAACTGTTGATGATTCTGAAATTCTTATTACTACCACCCTTGAGAGGAAAACAAAAATCAATATACCCAACTCTATCAGAGATCTGTTTGAAAGTTGTGATGAAAGGTTGCAGTTTAGGGCTAATAACAAATCCAATACCCCCATGACATTGTTCTTTCTGATCAAAAATTAACAGTCTGTAGTTGTTGTGAAGTATGATATCCACCTGATTAGTGCACTTAGTTTCTTGTAGTCCCACAATGTCCATACCGTACCTTTTGCAGTCATTACCCAGTAACTCCCTCTTTAAAAGTCGTTCAGACCGAGTTTTATCATTAACCGCAGTGTCTGGACTACCCAAGCCCCTAACATTCAAGAACAAACAGCGAAAACAAATAGCACAGCACACAGTGTTGATCCCATCTTGATTTTGGGCGTAGACTCTCCAGCCATAGCTGTATGTGGGTCGTCACTCCTACATTCTACCTAAAAGTATCGATAATTAAAAACTTATGACCCCTGCACTATACTTGAGTTTTCACTTTAGACAGCAATAACAAGTTGAAGTGCAAGTGCACAAATGGTACAAAGATTGCCTTATTAGGTCAATAGTGTGATTGTGCACCCACCGCATTTATATACCGCCTCTGGTGATATATAGAAAAATAAGAGATCTAGAACTATGTCTTTACAGGATATCAGTTACAGAGACGGGGACGCTTATCGGGCTTCTGAAGATAGTAGGAACTCTTTTAGGACTAGCCTTAGGTGGGGCTTTCATGGGCAAATTCGCTCCATCGGGTAACTAATAATAATTGGGTAGTCCTGGATGCATCATGCAAGCAGATACTTTCACCAAAATAGTTGCTATACAAAATATCCTATGTGTCCCAGTGAGACATTTTTACCTTATCAATAATTTTCTGAACTTGTATCAACAGTAGTCGAGATCAGTCATGATCCCACATCCTTCAGGAAAAAGGTGTTTGCTGTTCGTAGTAGTGACACTGTTACTGGCAATGCCTGCACCACCGATGTCACTTCATCACTGCGAAACTGACAATGTTGCTGGTTTATCAGTTTCCTACCCGACCGACCTTTCCCTGGATTGGAAGTAAAAGCAAAATCAATTCTTAATTTTAATGAGTTAAGACACGACTTTTGAGCTTTTTAGTTCCTCTTGTTGATTCTTATACTCATATTCGATATATCGTTGAGAATCTTAAACAGCAGTAGAGGTCGACTAAATGTAAAACTATAATCTCAGCAAGGGAAGCAGGAACTTGACAGACAAGTGTAACGGTGAATGTAATTGCTCAAAAGATTTCTACGAGCCCGTTTGTGATCTGGAGAGTAACATAACCTACTTCTCCCCCTGCCATGCTGGCTGTTCTTCATATAACGTAATTTTTAGCTCTCTATTGGCGGTTACATCAAAGGTTCTTGGTCATAATGTTTAAGAAGTTTAATTTTAGCCTACTCATAGTGATTGTTTGCTGATACAGGATTGTTTCTGATAATTCCTATTTTATTGCAGGAGGAAAAGAATGTCTATGAGAATTGTGAGTGCAGTCAGGCAGATTTAGTCCCTGGAGCATGTCCAGCAGAAGATTCTTGTTCGACGAGGAAGTGGATAGTTTTTGTAATTCAGCAATTCTTCGGAACCCTCTTCTTCTTCAGTCACTACCCTGCCATAAGTGTGGCTTACCTCAGGTGAGCAGAATTTTGTTCAACAAAACTAAAATCTTTATTAAAATCAAAGCTCGGTGGTTGAAATCTTGTTCTAGGTTACTCACGTGTGGTTTTTCCTAATCCAAAATTGCAAATCAGATTTATACAACAATTGAGTAGTGTTTACCTCCACTTCCACGAGGCTTTAAATTCCTCAGAATCACAGCCAAGTTTAATTTGGCAAAACTAATCTGATCGTAGGTTTGATACAAAGAATGTGTGCAGATTGCAGATACTGTTGCTCCTGTGATTACTGAGGATGGTCTGAGTGAAGCATTCTTTATTCTTGCAGGAGTGATGCAGGGAGACACCTTGGCGCCCTATCTATTCATAAATGTAATTGACTACATTATGAGGGTGTCCTTAGAGGGTAGGGACTTTGGGTTTACTCTACACCTTAGAAGAAGCCGACATCTTCTTCTTCTTCGTAGGGGCTGTGGTCAATATCACTAATGGTAAGATCGTGACCACTGTAAGATTGGAGCCCTGTGCTTACCCCGGTAGAATCCGACACCATCCGGCTGTCAAGGTCACTGATGCACACTTGAGTGAGACTTTGCTGACAACCTTGCTCTTACAACAGATAGTGTTGCGGAGGCACAGGATTTCCTCAAGAGTCTGGAACTGGCCTCCAACTCAGTTGAGTTACCATCATAATAGATGGTGGTAACCTGACTTAGGGTACTGGGAGCGGGAAGACCATTGAGAAAGTCGATGACTTTGTATACTTGGGTAGTAGAATGAAGAGTTCGGAGAAGGACTTCGAAGTGAGGAAAGCTAAGGCATGGGGAGCGTGTATGAAGCTAGTATGGAAGTCGGATATGCGTAGAGATCTTAAGGTACAACTGTTCCTGGCTAAAGTTGAGTCCATCCTTCTGTATGGCTCTGAAACATGGACTGTCAGCCAGACCCTCGCAAAACGTATTGATGGATGTTATACGAGAATGCTGAGGATGGCACTTAACATAGACTGGTCAGAGCGGCAGACTAACGCCAAGGTATATGGACACCTCATGACTTCATCAGAGCATCTGATAAGATAGCTGAACGGAGGATGAGACTCGCAGGTCATCTAACCAGACAAGTCATAAACTTCTCTTCTGGGAACCCCTGAAGGACATAGTCGAAGGGGAAGACCACACCTCACATATATTGACATCCTTCGGAGGGACACGGGGCTTGACGACAGCAAGGAGATAAACAAACTCATGCTGGATAGACAGATTTGAAAAAAAAAAACTATCTCTGTTCGGACGTTGAAGCCGCCCTAAGTCGAGTTGTAAGTCAAAAACTAATCTTACATTATAGCCAAAATTCTGGCGGATAATCTTTGAAATTCTCAGAGTGGTTCCCGAAATCGACAGGTCCGCAGCACAGGGATTGAAACAGTTCTTTACACGAGCGTTTGGGTTCGTGTTAGGACCCATTCTGTTTGGAGCTATCATTGACAACTACTGTGTAGTGTGGAGACTTGGAGGAAGCTGCTGGCTCTACGATCTCCATGAGTATGTGTTTTAAATTTCTCAAAAAGCACGCCATTATTGACTGTGTGTAGTGCCACTTCATGGTAACACCCTCACTGGCATTGTTGAATTATCACATTACATCCAACCCCTAATAAGGATCGAGATTTTAGCGCATCTCGATCTGAGTCTGTATACTGACCTGTAGTTACAGATCTGAACTGGCTCCTTTATAATTTTGACACTGACATTCATCCAATTTCAGTTTGATAGTGACGTTTACGATGAGTCAGCTAGGATTCCGTTTAGCAGGAACTATCTGCATCTTTATTGCATGGAGACATTACCCAGAGTGACCTGGTTTACACGTACCACAGCTGACAAATCAACTCTAAACTCTAAAATTATTTAATCTCTATAGTTTACACGTACTAGCAGGAACCCGTCTAACCCTAAAGTTGTGTCAAGACTCGAGAGACTAAAATAATTATTACCTATTTAATTCGCGTTTTTGACACCACTTGGGAGTCCTTCTTTTTGCTTATCGATTAAAAGAAGCTGAGCTTTTATAATTCAAATTGCAGCTTCTTGCTAAAAAAAACTAGGGTGCTGACTGCTGATGCAATGGTGCTTATTCTCCTTTGATATATTATAATTATATTCGAATAACGTGTCCTTTGTTTAGTCATATTTCTCAATCTGGGGAGGGCAACCCTATCGACGACCAATGCTCACGATATTGCAAATTTGTTGCTCATCGATTAAAAGAAGCTTTTATAATTCAAATTGCAGCTACTTGCTAAAAAACTAGGGTGCTGACTGCTGATGCACTAGTGCTGATTCTCCTTTGATATTATATTCGAATAACGTGTCCTTTGTTTAGTAATACTTTTTTGCCCTAGCGGCTAGCGCGCGTTCGTGTTCCCGAGCCTGCCCCCTTATTCTCTCAGAACACCTCGGGTACACTTGTTCGTCCAAACATATAGAATAGAGATTCGGCGGAATGACAGGCTGAGCGCCGCCCAGTAACGATTTCCTAACCCTAACTTAACTCTTAATATAACATATAAACCTAACCAATAAATAGACTGAGGTGGGCCCCCGCCCATCTTAGTGTTTCTCTGCTAAGTTAAAGTTACTCACGCTATTGTTGTCACACGTTGTAGACCTGCCGCGCACGAGTGCGCGGCTTTAGACACGATACTAGTGAAAGTGAAACGACGATGGGGGTCACGACAATGATGAGGGTCACGACGTGATCTGATACAACGGCCAACGCTATTGTTATGTGTATTTCACGAAAAATAAGACAGTGAAGTTATTGAGTTTGTTATCCACTTTGAATATTAATAAATGAGATTCGTAAATTATTGCATATTAACAATAAACTGGTTCAGAATGTATTGCAAAAGATTTTACCCCGATTAACGGAGTTTAGGGTTGTATTGTGGTTATAAATCAAGAGGCTTGCATATAATGAACATATTGACACGGGTGCAGAGTTGAGTCTGTACGGAACCTAGTAGTTTCAGATCCTTGTTTAACTTGCCGTACAGCAAGGTCATCCACTACTTTAGCCCGGCGAGGCACATAACTCCCTCTACAACTCCATGACAAATGTTTCATATATACTAGCCGAGTTCACAAGTTATATCCTTGTGTTTGAGAAGAGCTCGTTAGAACTGCTTCCTTTCCCTTCAGTATCCCACAGTCTCTCGAGTTTCGTAACTGCCAGAGAACTCTCTTAAACAATTACTAGACTCGGTGATTATAATATTATGACTTAGTTTTGCGGTAATAAGGGTAGGATTTAGAGTTAAGGTACAACCGTTTCAATGGCAGCAATCCATATAAAATCCATATAAAAACCCAAGTCAAGTGATGATTTTAGTTTAGAGTGAAATAATATGAGCCGAAAAATTAGGAATACACATGACCAATTAAATTATTAAGAGCCAAATGTGCTCCTACTAAATCGCTCGCCCAAATTTTAAGAAAATTGTTGTGAAAAGGCTCTTTGAGTATGAAATTGATATGGATCGGTGTATTTTTGGACGCTGATTCCGAATCACTCCCCATGACGTATAGGGTAAAAATGCTTTCCTGGAGAGTTATGGGCAAAAAACCGTTTCGGTCACGTGACAGGCTAGTAAAACATGAATTCGATTGTTTAGGGCTCGGGTTAGGGTTAGGGTTGTGGATAGCTTCGGGGTTATGGTTAGGGTTGGGATTAGGCTTTATGTAAAACCGTTTTGTACGGCTGCAAAACCTATAAAAACCAAAGTCACGTGAAATTTTTGGGCGAGCGAATTAGTAAGAGCCAATTAAATGACACAGCTCTGGCGAGGAACATCTTGATCGTAGAAATAACCAGCAAATTATACTTTGCTCTGTATGGAAAGGAGGGATATAATAGTGATACAAAAAGAGTTCGTCACATAAAATCGGTTTTCATTTCCCATTCTTTTCTCAAAAACATCTCCTCTGCATAAAATTCTTCGACATCTTTAGGACGCTCAACAGAAAATTGTTGTTCATCTAGTCCGAGACAAGAAGCTAAACTAGGACCTACAGTTTCGTCCCAAAATGACTGGTATAAGGCTAACCCTACAGGTAACAGTTTGTGCTCATCAATAATGCTAGACAGCTCAGATAATCTATCAGTGTGACTATTATTGACTGTTGAGTCTTGTTCTAATAAAAGTAGAACGTAGCGGTAAACGCCAGTTCCTTTTAGTGGCACTGCTGGAACGTATGGAAGCACAGTTATGTCATCATCTGTGACGTCATCATCTGTGACGTCATCATCTGTGACGTCATGAGACTGAAGGCTATCAGGGCTGATGTTAGAGACCCACCAGTGTATTCTACAGTTAGTGCAGTCAGGCGAGTAGATTATCATACTGTATTTCTTGTCTGGGTCAATCGGAACAGAACTCCACTCAACCTGCAGAGATTAAAAATGTGAGTATTGGCAGGAGGAACTATTGTTAAAATAATATTACTTAAAAACAATATGTCGAAATGTTAACGGTTAAACAAGTAAATACCCGTGGTGGTTGCAGGGTCTGGGAAGGTGCGGTCATCGTCCCAAAGTCAATGTGTAAACCCCCGTATTTAGCGTGTAAAGGGAACATTCTGTACAGCTTCCCCCCTAGCACGTGGTTATTGAGCCGCGCGTGGGACAGCTGGGTTTGCAGACACTTTGCTCCGTGTTGAACCACATGTGCAGGTGCCCTGGGGAGCACGGATATTAGCATTCCTAGTAGCTGTCATGTGGCCTGGTAATTTAATTGTACTGACTTCGAATTTTAAAAATGTCATTAAAAAAGGTTAAAATAATTTCAAAGATCCAAGCCACCAATTACTCAGTAGGAAGGCTCTCGCTTCTTGTCTGTAATGATTTAAAGACGGGTATTTTAATGGGTGGCATCCTTTACACAATAATTTAAATACACTATTATAGTTATGATAAAACTATGATGGGATAAAAAATAAACTGACCTGGGGAAGAAGCCGCCTGATTTCCAATCCTTGTGAACAGCTTCCAAATCAACGAGAGGATCTTTTATAAACAGCGTGTCAGAGAGCTGACGCCCTGACTTTACACACAGTGGTAAAACTCTTTTTAAACACTGTGACATTGCTAAACATACAATACGGGTTTAATAAGATATTAGCGACATTCAATGTAATACTTTTTATCAAAAAGTTCCAGAAATTTAGGGGAATAAATTCTATTAAAAAACTCAGAAATATTAAATATTAAGACAAAGTATATTTTACAAAGCAACAGCAATTGAATACCCATAATAAAATTTGAACGTCACACCAAAAATAAACATTTAAAACCATTATCAGCTAAACAATTCGAGTATCTAAAATCTCTACCACCACAGTAGCTGTTCATGTCTTCTCTGATCGACTGTTTTTATTGTGCCCAGTTCTCACGTGGTTGTCACGTGATCGGTGTTTACTTCGCTTCTCATCCCCAGACTCCCTATTGTTACTCCTCTTTCTGTGTTTCTGATGTCGCTCATTTCTGCAGCTGGAGTGTTTTGTGTCGTAGTTGGAAGTTATAGTGCGGTCTGATGTAAGAAGTATTGGTGCTTTGAAGGGTCGGTCCCTACCTCCAAACCTTAACTGCCCTGATTTCTTGTCACCTCCAAACCCTCCCCCTGGGAAACATCATTTGTTAATATAAAATATTACACTTTAAAAGTAGGTGGCACTGTAGACAGAGACCAATACATACTTAGTAATAGATTGATTTAACATTTGCTATTTAATAAAATGTAAATAAACTGTCAATTTAAATCGATATATTACAGAAATTAGAAACAGTACTAGATTTGTCGTAAATGACGAGAAAACGTCATTTATGGTGAATCTGGTCGAGAAATATTGATCAATTCCAAGCGGAATATTAATCAACTGTATCGCGATTCTACAAAGAGTCATTTTAAGAAACTTTAGTGTTCCATTTCCACCCCCCCGCCCCCCCCCCCCGTCACAGTGACCAGTATGAGCCACAGTATGAGTTTTAGTAACCCCCTATTTTTAGTACCCCCCCCCCCCCCTAGTCACAGTATGAATTTTAGTAACCCCCCAACCCCTAGTCTAGGTTTAGTACTCCCCCCCCCCCTAGTTTTAGTAACCCCCGGCCCCCCTAGTCTAGGTTTTAGTAACCCCCCCCCTCCCTAGTTTAAGTACCCCCCCTAGTTTTAGTAACCCCCCCCCCTAGTCTAGGTTTCTAATAACTTACCAAGTCTTCTAGGAACCCACCCCTTCATATTGTGTGAGTTCTCGTAGTCAACAAATAGAACACTGTTATCAAGCTTAACATTGTTTGTTTGCTCTCTGGCATAATCCGTGTCTTCTATTTTAGAGAATGTCACAAAACCGTACCTGACATGAACAAGGGTAATCTAGCTGTGGAACAGATTATAAAACTCTTAATGTAACTGCAAATAAAGAGCTGGACAGTAAAAAGTAGCGCCGCACTAAAAGGATACATCCATCTCAATAGAGTATAGTCACTATAGACTGTGGGGTTTCTGAAATGAGAAGAGTAGTAGTAGTAACAGGTAGTGAGAAAAGCAACAACTAAAAGTAGCTCAGCCTTGCAAATTTCTAAATCATTGAAGAGTTGTGTAAGATAGCATTTATAAGGGTCTCTATTGCCTCAATCCCCCCACCCCCCCCCCCCCCCCCCCCCCCCCACGTCTCTTTTCAAATACTAACCTCCTTGACTCCAATGTGACAGGATCCTGTACAACTCTACAGTTTGAGATCCTCCCGTACTTCCTAAAACACTTCTCCAATGATTCAGTGTCTGTGGTAGAACTCAGTCGGCCGACAAACAGTGTTCTGGAGGATTTAGCACAGTTTCTAGGCAGGTAGTTTGCATTCATAGCCCTGTTTATTGCTTTATCGTGAGGTATCTTATCAGTACCATCAATACTCCCAGCTTTTAGAGGATCATACACTTTCAAGGTGCGATCAAATGCCATCCTGAGAGTAATTACATGAATAAAGGTGGCATCTCAATTCTCAACATAGAATAATGTCTGTGTGCGATATCAGATATGAAAATGTAAATATTAACTTTCAAAGACGAACGCGCGCGCGCGGACATACGTTTAACAAGTGCTTTCATAAAAAAGAGTTTTAAAATATTTCACCGCGTGTTCCACAAAAGATTAAATTATGTTTGCCCCGTTGTAGCATTGCGCGCACCAACATCAAAATTCGCTTAAAAATACATTATCACATTATACTGAATAAAAAGATTCAACAATGAACAAACGAGTCAACAAAAATAAGATGTTTGATAATGAGAATAAAAACTCATCCAAAACAATACTCTACAGAATTGGTAGGTGCAGTCCCTGACCCAAGAACAGTGTTTCTAAAAAGATAAAACTAATAACTTATCCATATCCTTTTAATTTAGATAAAGCCTGAAAATTGATCTGAAATTTATAATTTTCTGTCATCCGCTAAAGAATAAGACCATGCTGAACATGACGAGAATGTTCCAGATTCCTATGAAAATCCTGTACTGTCTCACATTTTGCAGACTCTCTCTAATCTTGTCTCCTGTTGTAATCGTCTGAAATCAGTAGAATATTATACTCATTGGAGTTTATGAATATCAGTCAAGATGTATTTAAAAGTGACAAATTATAAAGTTTAAAATTTAACAACACACCTCCTCTCCAAATGTGTCCTCTTTATCTGCAGACAGCTTGAAGTTCAGTACGGCCCCAGCATTGATTAATAGCGTGCCTGCTACTATAATCGTGGACATAACCTGGGCTACCATTAATTATTAGTATTTTTATCACTACTATTAGGGGGGTGATGAAAAAGAGGAAATATGTTTTTGATTGATTTACTGTATTCATCAGAACTAGAAACAAAAATAAAAGTCCCAATGCAATTGTAAAAAGTTATTTTAAATCTGTGTGTTTGGTAACTTCAAAAAAGGCCCCAGGGATAGTAACATAAAATTATGTTGATTAGCAATAATTTAAATTGATGCAATGTGTGGGCGTAAGTGAAATAAATCTATGTAATAAGTCAGTGTAAAAATACTAGTACGAAATTTTCAAAGTACAAATTCCCCGAATACCTTTAAGATTTTCCAAAATAAACCGGAAAATATGTAAAATTCTTTTCCAAAAAAAAAAAATTTTTCCAAAATACAAAATACCTTAAAAGCGTCATATTATTAGAGTATTTAAAAGGTTCATATTAATATTACCCAATAATATTTGTCATAAAACAAAGTTCAAAGTCACACGCGTCGACGAGTTCGTACGCGGTATAAAATAATCCGTTTTTTGTGGAAGAATGAGAACATGAAGTAAAGGAATGCACAGACCACTAAAACCATTAGGAATGTGATAAATCCCAGGATATAAAACAGTTTGATGCTGTTCTCGTCCTCAGTCTCCTCCATCAATACAAAGTCTACTGGCTGGTTATCTAAGTTAATGGATAATAGCTTACTGTTGAGCTGTCCTATAGGGTATGTGTCGTTATAGTCACGTGACTCTACTGCTGGGTACACTGGACACATTTTCTGATCTCTGAACACAAGGATTCCGTCCACTTGTGTCATAACACGGGAAAACTGGTGAAACAGCGGAGTTGAAGCGAGTTTGGGAGTACGGAAAGTAGTCTGCAGCCAGGCGGAGAGAGACTCGTCAATACCAGGGGAGAAGGTGTAGGATCTCTTCTCTATCATATTTAACACTTCCTCTACAAACCAATAACAGTTGGTCACGTGTCCTGCGTTATCAATACAGGAGGAATCTCCGTACACTGCAACGGAGCCGCTATCACCGTGGTGTAGTCCAAATATGGGCACATCACTTACACTTACATCCTTGTTATGTATCATCTCTGTAGCTTCGTCTGATAGAGTTGCAGTGAACACTTTACCCTCTGTAGGGAAGGATAATAGGCTGGTGCCGGACGCGTAGTCCATAGCATGCGGACCAATAGAGAACTTGCCGTACCAGACCTTGTCACTGAGCACCACACCCCACGCAGCGAGCAGTTTGTTAAGTGCGGGGATATTAGCCCCACCACCCTGCAACACTACCCACTGCTTCGTGTTCTCGTCATAGAACTTTATGTGCTTTATTAGTGGTCCGTTATACCAATCAGCGAACACCAACAAGTTCAGTCCTTTAGCAGTTACATCCTCGTTAAGCTTCGTTATCTCACTCTCAAAGAATGCATCTTCTGAATCCACAAGGAACAGGTAGCCGTAGTTTAGTGCGTCAAAACACCCAAAATGAGATGATAATATCTCTACAAAGTATCCCTTACTACGGAGATGCTTGTAAACACCGTTGAAGTTAGTATGAATGTGGTCTCCATTCCAATCAAGAGGGGAAGTGTGAAGTTTGAGGTTGTCTCTAGGGAATGGGCCTACTGGGTATCCAATAGAGTGGAAATGATCCCACAATATCCTCTTCTTCCTGGGCGGGGTGGGTATAATGTTTACTTTAACAGGGATGTGAAGGGTGGAGGTCTGGTCGCTGATATCTTCACTTGTTGCAGGAGATGTGACTGTGAGAAGTACATACCCTTCTACTGTACCTGCAAACCCAGCTCCAGACTCAGCTACTGACAGTGTAATAGCTAGGTAACCAGTCCAGGGCCACAGAGTGGGGCTGTAACGGAATGATAACTGGAGAATGTTCCCACTAGTCTCTGTGTTGGGGTGCCAGGTGGGAGGGCTGGTTATGGAGCCCAGCACTCCCATACCATTGATAATGGTCATGTTAACAGTGATAGGCATGGCAGTGTAGTAGAGAGGTTGAGAACAGATAGGCCACATATAAGGGCAGTCCGTCCAGTCTATCTTACCGGGACTCAGTGTAATCTGAGGAACATATCCTTGTAACAACTCATACGCGCGCGGCAGGTTCATTTTACCGCTGCCTTGCTCGTACATACTAATCCCAGGTAACCTGTCTGCTGATGCCATGAGAACTTGTTTTATACTTGCAGGAGACAGAAGCCGGGACAATCTCTCATTCTTCTTCATAATCTCAGTGAGTAGAGAGACAGCACCAGTAACTACAGGAGAACTGACACTAGTACCAGTTAGGTACCTACAGGAGCCCTTAATATTAGAGCCCCTAATAGCTGTACCATATGTAACAATGTCAGGTTTAACACGACCACTCCCTCAGGTAGCTCCCACAACGTCATACCACGTGACGAGAACTCCGCAATCTCATCGTCATAGTTCAGACCGCCCACTCCTATGACATCTAGCTGATCTGCTGGATTGTTCAGTGTTCCGTAGAGGGGGCCGTCATTTCCCATTGCTGATACGAAGATAATCCCCTTCGACGTGAGTTCCATGACTTTGTTGATGAAGATAGAGTCCTGGAAGTCCGGGCCCCCAATACTAAGGTTGATAATATCTATTTTAGAGCTGACAACGTAATTAAAGGCGTCCAGGAACCAGGAAGTGTGAGATATCTGTTGAGAGTTGAAAACTTTAAGAGAGTAAATAAGAGTGTCGGGAGCAATACCCAGACAGTCTCTAGAACTTGCGATAACTCCTGCTACAAAGGTGCCGTGTCCTATAACCTTATCATTAGGCTCGTTCTCATCTGTAAAGTCAATAGTGTCTCCAATATTGCTGAAGTGGGGGTGCAGTTTGTTGAGGCCTGTGTCCAGTACTGCTACTCGCACACCTGCCCCGCGGTAACCACGCCGCCACAATGCAGGTGCGTGAACTAGGGAGGCAACACTCCGAGAACTGACACTCAGTATTTTCCTTCTGAAATAGTCTAAATAAGAAGATGACCTCTGACCGGGTGCGTTGTTTGATGTGTTGTAATGTTGTGGTTCCGCTTTCAGAGTCGTCTGAATAATCTTGTCATGAAAAACACCCTTTACTAGATTGTGCTCGATTAAGCTCGGCCTCACATACCCCAGATCATGTCCCACGTAGATAACACTAAAGTCACTGCTGAACTGTTCCACGTGACGAGCTTTAGGTATTGTGTACCAATCAAAGTCGTTAGAAAGACATGTGCGCAGCACTTGTTTGCGCTCTAGACGGGACAAGTAGCGGGTAAATGTGACTATGAGCTGCTCGTCACATTGTACAGGAGAGATGGAGATTAGAAGTAGAGACAACAGGAACATCGTGCAACATGTTGGGCTCAGTTTACCTATAGATTAAGTAGTGGTTAGTACTTGTATTGATATGAAGAAATAACTAAGCATCTTCATAAGTTACATGTATTTATATAAATTAATTGGGGTAGTTTGTACTATTCTAACTGTTATTGAAATAAGCACGCTAATAAATATCAAAGATCAAAAATTTACAATCATTACAATTGACCTCTAATTTACCAAATCGTTTACAATTACCCTTGTAACCATGGTAACACTGCAAAATAATGGTAGAAATAATCATAATTGATTGAGGGACTGGTTAGTTTAGTATATAATAACTACTATATACCATTATATAATATATATATACTACTATATTTTAAAATCTTTGAAAATAAATAAATTCAACAGTAGCTGATCAAACTAAGAGTTTATCCAGTTTAGAGGAAGTTATACAATAAGAACTACCATTATCAATCACGTGATGTGACGTCAGTGCTCCACTGTGTGACGTCAGTGCTCCACTGTGTGACGTCAGTGCTCCACTGTGTGACGTCAGTGCTCCACTGTGTGACGTCAGTGCTCCACTGTGTGACGTCAGTTCTGCACTGTGTGACGTGTAACAAGAAGACGACAAATAGAAACCGTCCCTTCCTCCACTCGGAATCCTCGGACTTGTCACATTCGAAAGCATTTTTTGAAAATTATCACCGAAACCTTTCTCTCCAGAGGCTGCTTCATATTCTTTAGCACGTGCAATGTAGTTGGTGAATGTGTCGCGCGAGAAAACACGTGGCATGTGAGGGAGAAGTAGTGCTAGGTAAATACAATGCAGATCATCTAATCCTTTGTAGAAGTATTTACACTTCACAGCGTACGTTTTATTAGAAGCTGCGTGGTAAGCTTTGACACTGAAGATGTGAGGGGCTATAAACTCAGTTACCTGCAGTATCTTATCTCTGTTCTGATAACACCACTCCATTTCAACCTCGGTCCCATTATTGATATTAGCACTATCTTCAACCGCTATCACGTGTTCTGAGTGAGGGATTGTGTTGACTAACCTCTCCACAACTAGTAACTGTTTTCTTAACAAATCCCTGATCTGACTCAGAGGAAGTGTCTTCAAGAAGCCGAACCCTCGTGCTGTATGTTCAGGGTTATCTAGCTGATACTCAATAAAGCGCCTCAGTAACCCCGGAGTGATGCTCCCCATGTTGTAGAAGTTCTTGTTGCAAGAGGAGCACATACCATCTGCCTGTATCACGTGACTGTGAACAGAGTGAGCTAGAGGTAGCAGGGTTGGGAGAATTTTAACTCTCTCTGTGTAGTGGCATTTACTCTGGGCTGCTAGATAGTGGCCAGCTGTTTTGTAATGAGGCTGGGTTGAGCTGTGATATCTACTCTGGGCTGCTAGATAGTGGCCAGCTGTTTTGTAATGTTTGAGAGGCTGGGTTGAGCTCTGATATCTACTCTGGGCTGCTAGATAGTGGCCAGCTGTTTTGTAATGAGGCTGGGTTGAGCTCTGATATCTACTCTGGGCTGCTAGATAGTGGCCAGCTGTTTTGTAATGTTTGAGAGGCTGGGTTGAGCTGTGATATCTACTCTGGGCTGCTAGATAGTGGCCAGCTGTTTTGTAATGTTTGAGAGGCTGGGTTGAGCTGTGATATCTACTCTGGGCTGCTAGATAGTGGCCAGCTGTTTTGTAATGAGGCTGGGTTGAGCTCTGATATCTACTCTGGGCTGCTAGATAGTGGCCAGCTGTTTTGTAATGAGGCTGGGTTGAGCTCTGATATCTACTCTGGGCTGCTAGATAGTGGCCAGCTGTTTTGTAATGAGGCTGGGTTGAGCTCTGATATCTACTCTGGGCTGCTAGATAGTGGCCAGCTGTTTTGTAATGTTTGAGAGGCTGGGTTGAGCTGTGATATCTACTCTGGGCTGCTAGATAGTGGCCAGCTGTTTTGTAATGAGGCTGGGTTGAGCTCTGATATCTACTCTGGGCTGCTAGATAGTGGCCAGCTGTTTTGTAATGTTTGAGAGGCTGGGTTGAGCTCTGATATCTACTCTGGGCTGCTAGATAGTGGCCAGCTGTTTTGTAATGAGGCTGGGTTGAGCTGTGATATCTACTCTGGGCTGCTAGATAGTGGCCAGCTGTTTTGTAATGTTTGAGAGGCTGGGTTGAGCTCTGATATCTACTCTGGGCTGCTAGAAAGTGGCCAGCTGTTTTGTAATGTTTGAGAGGCTGGGTTGAGCTGTGATATCTACTCTGGGCTGCTAGAAAGTGGCCAGCTGTTTTGTAATGTTTGAGAGGCTGGGTTGAGCTCTGATATCTACTCTGGGCTGCTAGATAGTGGCCAGCTGTTTTGTAATGTTTGAGAGGCTGGGTTGAGCTGTGATATCTACTCTGGGCTGCTAGATAGTGGCCAGCTGTTTTGTAATGTTTGAGAGGCTGGGTTGAGCTCTGATATCTACTCTGGGCTGCTAGATAGTGGCCAGCTGTTTTGTAATATTTGAGAGGCTGGGTTGAGCTGTGATATCTACTCTGGGCTGCTAGAAAGTGGCCAGCTGTTTTGTAATGTTTGACAGGCTGGGTTGAGCTGTGATATCTACTCTGGGCTGCTAGATAGTGGCCAGCTGTTTTGTAATGTTTGACAGGCTGGGTTGAGCTCTGATATCTACTCTGGGCTGCTAGATAGTGGCCAGCTGTTTTGTAATGTTTGAGAGGCTGGGTTGAGCTCTGATATCTAACTAACTGAACAAGAGGAAGGAGGGTAGGGAGGAGGGTAGGGTTGTTACATAATCTCATTTGATGAAGGTCATACGACCTGCAATGTTGTAAACGTTATTACTTTATATATTATTACTGCTATTATATCAACAACCGTTACATGTGCTGTAAGCCTGTAATTATATAATATATCCTACTAGATATATATAACGACTAATTACTGGCCGCAAACTGCAGACATGTATTTTCATTTCCAGCATTTTTGTGTCTTATTCTCCTTGTTATAATAAAAATAATAAGACCACTATTTATGAAGGTATATTATAATGTATATAATTAATGATTGTTGTTGTCTAATTCTTCAATTAATACATATAATGTGCAAAGCGGGACAACAAAACTGAATGTAAATAATTATTAATAGATTTTCTATAGTGTATACTGAGTTCAAGTTGAAGAGTTAATTTCTCGATCTTAAAACAGATCCAAAGGAATTTGTAATGTGAACATTAGTAACACATATCTACAGTTCGTTACATTGGTGGTAACCATGGTAACACTACATTGGTGGAAGTTTCTTCTCGTGGAGATCTTTAATCTTACCGGCGTTTATCAGGGCGTTCTTTAGCCACCCCTGAACGGAGATATTAGTTAAACTTGATCAATTAAACAATAAAAAACTAAAAAAAATTTTTATTTTAACGTCATTACGTTTAATTAGACATGAAACAATATATTTTAAAGGTAAAAAATCCACAAAAACAAACACTAAAAATAAAACATTGTACTACAGTAGCCCGGTAAAGAGAGGAGGTTGGGGGCCGGGGGGGGGGGGGGGGGGGGCTCTAGTGTACTTGAATGTTCCGAAGCTCTAGTGTACCTGAACAAGGACAAAAGAAAATCGCGATTATTTAGCATAGGCCAAAAATCACGGCGCTGCGACAAGTCAAACTAGGCAAAATCGCGATGAATTTGCGGCGTAAGATATTGATAATGTATTTGCAGAGCTAAGATCTATATTAATAATCTTTAGTGTGTACTGATCAGCTAGTAGTGTTAAGATCTAAACAGACTCTTCTTCGTGATGCCTACGATTAATCATTGTCAAATTAGAAAACGGTAAGAGGTACGTGGCTGGTTTTTTCGGTATAGTGCCCACAAACTCTGACGAAGCCCAAGAGCCTAAGTTTTTTAATCGTTACACGAATTATGAATTAGGGATACACTGGTTCATAGGATTAGAGTAATGACAATTGCTAGTTGGTTTGTGTGTAGATTACTGGGCGTCGCTCAGCCTGTCATTCCGCCGAATCTCTATTCGATAATCTCTATATGATTATGAACATAAATATAATAGCCTGGGGTCCCCAGGTAAGTGTGTAGATAGTAAGTCTGTGCGGCTTCTAGTGATAATATAAAATTATTATAATTATTACTACATTATATGTAAGAATTATAATTATTATAAAAGTTATGTTTATATAGAAACAAGGAGAGTAACTTATATATTGAGGCACTTTCCTTGTACACCTATCGAGAATAACTCGGACCGTGAAAATTTTCTAAATCGAAATTATTTTCAAAGTTTTTCTGGAAACTACTTTTGCTCTAGTGTACCTGAATGTTCTGAAGCTCAGGTATGACGTCCACATCCTCTAAGAACTGTGTAGTATAGTCCACATCGTACCCAGCCCCCTCCGTCCTGTTCTCCACTCCTGATATCTCACTACTTATCGACTGTAACAGAAATAGGTATCATAATTTTAACTACTGTCATAAGGAATCATGTTATTTGAAACTACAAAACTGCAGTTCTCATAAAATGCAGTACATTTAACCACCAAATAAGTTTTACAAAGTTGTATCTGGTAGTGTTGTGACGAGTAACAGGTAATTTAACGCTATTACTGTGTAATATTAGTAACCTCATCAGATGCTGTACTAATTGCAGAGAGTATTATACCCATTATGAAGTGTGTAGTAGTGTACACTACTTGTTAAACAGCACTACAAGGTGTACCTTCAAATGAGGAATAGTTTTCTGGATATGTTCCTCAATCCTGTAACAAGCTAGAGATGTCTCGTTAACTAGCAAGTGCAAACTCTCAGATGATTTGTGACAGGTACTAGTGGCCAGGTGGTTTGTATCTGGATGGCAGTTGAGGTGAGTGGTGGGTGTGTCCTCGTCAAACACAAAGTTGCGGGAGATACCTTGCCGGGAGGGTATGTTCAAACCTGCTGCCATTCTGTCCATTCATGCTGACGAGTTGGTTTTCATAAGGATTATATTTAACAATTTGGAAACATCATCATTTTAACATGTGGTTTAACTTTAAAACTTCGACCCTGATTTTAGAGAACTGTTGACTAAAACTCAAATTGGTGTAGTGAAATAGCAAAACTTAGAATACACTTTTCATTGACAATAACATGCAGATTTTTATATAGTTACTGAACAGTCGTGATAAAAATTCGAAATCAAAAAACTAAAAATTAACTGGAAACCAAAAGTTACTTATATATTACTTACACTAACTGATTTAATAGACTGAACTAGAATAATTTGTGATTTATAATAATTAGCTATGGACACGGCAGAAGATGCAACATAGTTCAATTCTTCAATTTTGAATCTGCAAAACTCAGACTGAGATAAATGTCATACTCCCGAAAATATACATTTGTTTTAGTTGAAAACCATGTTAAACAATAATAAAAACTGAGTTACCTCCAGATTGAAACGCAAACACCCCAGATACCCTTCATCTGACATGAATAGGATTTATTTTAGCAGCCGCCTCATAAGTCTTGTGATACACAAACTTGAGGTAAAGAATAAAGAGGAGGTGAACTGAAGCCACTACAACAGCCACAGTCAGACCTTGTTTTCTAACAGCTGTACGGTCCAGGAACACATAACCCATGCGCACTGCAGAGGACACGCCGAGTACACCCCAGGTAGCGTAGAAGAATAAGTTGGAGGCGCTGGTAATGAGGAGGGTTGAGAGACCCATACAAAGTAGCGTGCCAAACAGCCCGTATCCGCACAGTGACAGCACCTGGTGTGTTACACAGGGTCATTCTTCCTATCTTTATTTATTGTTTATTTATTGTTTATTTATTGTTTATTGTTTATTATTTATTGTTTATTATTTATTTTTTATTTATTGTTTATTTATTGTTTATTTATTGTTTATTTATTGTTTATTTATTGTTTATTTATTGTTTATTTATTGTTTATTTATTGTTTATTTATTGTTTATTTATTGTTTATTTATTTATTGTTTATTTATTGTTTATTCATTGTTTATCAAATTCTGTTAATTAATTGTTCATGTTTAAGTTATCACAAGTTTTATAAAACGTATTTAGAACCTGAACAGGTGTAACAACAAATTCCTCTACCTCGATAGGGGAGAGATTGGTGTCACAGAAGTAAGCCAAACCAAAGAAGAAGATACTAGCACCTATCCAGTACCCAAAACAGGTCCCAATAGCAGTCCCCATTAGAGTACCTTCCTGTACAGTCTGTCCAGTAGCTTTCATACCCGCCAACATTACAGCAATCAGAGTTAACACCACCATTAGTGGTCCATACAGCTCACTAGGAAGTGAGGGGTCAGAGTATTATACATATACATTATACATATGTGGGAACTGAGTGATAATTACAAAGTTGAGAAGCTGGTAAAGTATATACCTGACAATTACAGGAGGAGTGCCCGTAAGCTTCTCTGGTATCAGAGCACTGATCAGCCTCTTCTGCACCTGACTAGGTTCAACATCAAAGTAGGGTCGCAAAATGTCAATCCGTCCGTACAGACTGAATGCTTCCTTTGCTTTTGTTGTGCCGAGTTCAAACATTTTCCCGGCAATCTGACTATGCATTTCAGATGTCAAACCGAAGCCTGAATCTTGACCCTGTAATAGTTAGGGTATTATTATTAGCAGGCTTTATGAGTTAAGAAAGTGTTAATTTATAAGAATATTCTTAGCTCATATTGCAACTGATTTTATTAAGAGTATACCTTAACATGGGCAGTATGACTAAAAGAAAGTGAATAATGCATTACATAAAAAATTATCAATATTTATAAACCCTCTGACAAGTAACCTGTTTTTCATATTGAGGAGAATAGTCCCCCATCTCCAAGGCAACAGACTCATCTTCAGAAATCATGTCCAATCAGCTGGGTCACCTTATCTCATAATATGCTACTGGTAATGTTATTGTAATAGTATAATATATAGGGGAATGTGTAACCTAGATATAGACTAGCTAACAAGCTAGTTTCTTATGAAAGCCTATCAAGTAAGCTGAAAAGATAGTCATACTGTTAATTGATCAGTAGTGTTACTTTTACGTTTCCTTCGTTTAGTTGTAGCCTACATAGTCTCCTCTATGTAATTGTCATATCTGCAATAGTTATGCCAAGAAAATGGAGTGGGCACACCCTGAGCTTCAAAGCCAGAGGAAACCAGACTGATATCCGGCGGATAGTACATGCGCCAGGAGGAGAGGGCAGACCAAAGAGTGCATCAGCATCAGATATCACTCGGGTCAAGCGCAGGACTGGAATTCCAAATAGACTTCCGTTCATGCAAAAGAAGGTTCCCAAACCACCAGGTATTGAAAATTATGATGAACAGAGTACAGCTAACACTAAAAAATCTTACAGTTTTAAAAACTAATATTTATGCAATTCCTGCTATTCCATCTTTCCTAATCCTCGAAATATATCATACAACTACAGCCCCTTAATAAATCGAAAATGAACAAATTAAAGTTAATGTCATTATTATGATTGACATCATGAATAAAACTAAAATTAACAGGAGGGAAAGGAATAGATCAGCGTAGTTATGGCAATGGGAAGCCATCAGGTATGCGACGACGAAGACCAGGAAGAAAGATAAACGCACTAGATACCATGAGTAACAATAACGTTAGACAAGGGAGGCCTCGGCAAAACAGTTTTCTTATGAAATGTGCTCAAGCTTCAGTTATTTCAAGCTTTGTGAGTCAAAAGACACCTAACAAGATATGGAGAGAAGAAGAGATACTGCAAGCATGGCCAAGGTAAGTTAAAAATGGGGGATTGCCTTCTTAATATTGCCTTCTTGTTCTAGTTGAATATCATGGGGGGGGGGGGAGGGGGGCTGGGGGGAGGGGGGCAGTGGCGTAATGAAGGGCCCCGCTGACCCTGCTGTGCAGGGGGGCGCCGTCTTAGGGGGGCGCCAAATCGTCGTTTGAATGTGGGACAATTTCGAAAACTTAACTAAAGTACTAGCAAAACTGCGCATTTTGCTCTAGACACACACTTTTTTAGAGATTTTACCGGCGTATCCTCTAAAATCATCTAATTTGTTCAATTTTAGGGAGGGGCACCAAAAGGGGAGGGGGCGCCAACATGGGGGCGCCTTTTCGGCGGGGGGTGCCAACAGGCAGCGTTACGCCACTGGAGGGGGAAGGCACAGTATGCATGGTTTGGGGTTTTCCACAGACCTGAAGATTCGTATGGTAGACCGTCCCAGAGGCCCGCTGCCGGCAGTAAAAGCAATGCAATTTGTGATTCCTTTAACACCCTATTGTTCCCATTTGATAATTTGAATGTTTGAATTTGAATGTTGGTGGTACAGAAAGAAGCTTCCAGATATTGATTGAAATAAATTTTCGTGCACATACAGAATGAATGGTTAATAATTTAATATATATGTAGACCAAGGTCTGTGCACGGGATGCTTCCTGGAAGAATCCAGTTCTTTTAGCGGGGCACCCTACCTAAAGCCAAATTGAGATATAATAATCATATTCCTAGAGAAATAATCAGAAATCGAATACCAATCAAATAATATGATATATAGGAGTAGTAACCATATTTACTATGCAAAATGCCCCAACCACATAGTGTAAATTTATATAGAATTCAAATTCCATATCATCATTAAACCTCAATAGTCAATATAATAGCCCAAGCAAAATTAAATAACTTCTTATATACCTTACTGTCATACTACAAATTAATTAAACATTTGAAATCTGTTAACCAGAGAATAAATTTCTAAACCTAATGCAAGTGAAATAATTTAGATGCAATAAAGAATGCCTAATGTGAGTATCATCTGTCAATGTCCTTGTAAAAAAGTCTGTAAAAGAGATATGAGTAACTAATATAGAAGAAAAAACAGGAAGTTGTCGTCTGTTGAAAAATAAATAAAATATCTAGAATATAAATTAGAATAAAATAACAGTCAATGTGTCGTCAATAAACTGTACAATTATCAAATGTTAAAACTGGGTGATACAGTCACCAAAAATAAATACTAAGTATAATAAGTAAATAAATTAAATGTGGTCTATAAAACTACCACTAGGTATAATAGGTCAATAAATTAAAAGTGGTTTATAAAACTACCACTGTGCGAACCCTTTCTCCAGTTAAAACATGTCAGTCATGTGCAAAATCAATCAAAATGGTAAGGTGGTAAAAAAGGGAAAATCCTTTCGATACATCAATTATATATGCCTCAGATTTAAAAGAATTAGAAGATACTTAGTTATCGTCGACTATGATTGCAGTGTAAAATTTGTCATATGAATTGTCGACGGTATAATTAGGGTCTGTTGTTATAGATGAGAGTAGCTGTTTCTTATACGAATCACTAAAGCTTTTAACATCGGGCAGATTTCGTAGATCTGTTGGAACATTATTCCAACATTTCGCCCCCAAGTATTGAAAGTTTTTATGTGATGTTGATCTATTAACATATAGGTTGCAGCTTTCGCCGCTCCTACTACCTCCTGATATGTAACTAAATTTGTTCATAAAGTTTGTAGGACAATTGTCATGGATGATTCTAAACATATAATTTGACAGATGGAGTTGTCGTCTAAGATGGAGTGGTAACCATTTCATGTCTCTATAAACATTAAGGCTGCTCTCTGTTTGTGGAACGTTGAGAGCTATTTTGGCTACCTTTTTGTACAGAGTGTCAAGTTCAGCAAGTTTTGTCTTGCCAGCTCTACAATAGATTGTGTCTAAATAATCGAATTGTGGCAACATGAGTGCATTGGCAAACATTTTCCTATATTTAATGGGTAGCAGTGCTTTACTTCTATACATGGCACCAATTCTCTTCATGACCTTCCTAATAATATAATCTACATGGCTTTTGAAGTTTAATTTACTATCTAGAATGAGGCCAAGATATTTTGTCTCTTTGCACTCCTTGATTGTGAAAGTTACCTCATTACATTCAATGGTTAATTCATCATGTTGATCAACAGACTCAAACAATAGGAATTCAGTCTTCTTTTCATTGAGTGATAATTTATTTACACTGAGCCATTTAAAGATTGTCATAAGTTCTATTTTCATGTTTATAAATGTGCTTCTGCAGGTTTGATCAAAGAATAGTGCACCATCATCTGCAAATAGATATGTCTCTAACGCTTTCAAAATGATAGAAGGTTTATAAAGCTTTGTGTCTTGTCTTTCACCGTTGCTTTTACTGCTCCACTGCAAGATGGTTACCGATGCTTTCGGTCATATGCATAGTATATGTATCTACCATATTATTATTAAACATTAAGATTTAAGGGAAGTAACAAATTTTCAAAAGTATTCTCTGCTGTTGACTGTTATTGTGCATAATACTCAGACCAACCATTCTTGCAGATATATAGTAGTGAAGTCATCTTCCTTATCTTTCACCCAACACGATTTTCTGATGATGATTGTATAGGGTTATCCGCGATTTAGGGTTAAATGAGGAGGGGTCTGCCAAAAGATTAATTATTTTGTAACTTCATCCAATGTAGTGTATTGTAAACCTTATTACTTTACTAAATGGTAGAACCATTATCAAAATCCCTGAGGTTTAGGGTTTTCCTGTGCCGTTCCGAAAGGTTTTTGGTCTTCAGGAATTCAGTAGATTTCCATATCACCTTTTAAGGGTGGTCTCATGAAACGCAATGTAATCAGCCACATAGGAATTGGTGGCTGAGTAGTTTAAAAAGCTTTCGCCTTCTGCATATGTGATAGAAGATCTAGGGTTTGAATCCCACTTTCATCTAGTCTAAGGAAAAAGCTAAGAATCCGTCGGATCTATGCGGTATTTGTATAATTGTCTCATCGGTTGACTCAGCCGAATGATAGGAAAACTGTGACATGTGAGCGAGGGTTAAATGTTGGAGGGGTCCTTGCCCATTGCCAAAAGATACAATTTTTGAAGGATATTCCTTTTATTCCATATTCAGTACATTTGCTTTCTTGGCGGCGCTCAGTCTGTCATTCCGCCGAATCTCTAGATATCTGAGGTCCCCAGGTAAGGGGTCCCCAGGTAATACATTTACATATGCAGTTTGGAGAAGTGTGGTAAAATAACAATTTGTAGCGCGATGCACTACTGGGCTGCTATGAGCTGTGAAGGATTGATTAAAATTGTAAATATAAATAAAAATGTGAATCAACTTTTTTAAAAACATTTAATAAATTGATTTTAAGCACTATTAAATATGGGTTACCTTACATGTTACACGTGTTTTTTACAGAAGGAACTCTCATTTACAGCAAAGTTCTACTTCAGCTTCCAACGCTGGTGTGTCAACAAAATCGGGTAATTTAAAGTTTAAGCCTTTTTATATTTTAAATTCTCCTGAACAATTGAATTTAAACATTTAAATTTGATTTGCTCTAATATAATAATCAAAACCCTTTCTGCTTTCGCGTTTACAGAAATCTGTACTTTCAATTTTTTATACTATCTCTGATCTTCGCAATTACTTTAAAACCAAAACTGACTCGAATCCTAAAGCATTTGACGAATGTTTTTGTATTACGTTGTGACCCCCACGGTCGCGTTTCACTATAGAGGGTTTTTACGATACAGGGGAGCCGCGCACTCGTGCGCGGCGGGTCATACAACGTATGACAAGGATGTTGCTCTAACCAGAGCCCTCTCGCTTGCAGTAGCGCGCGACCGCCGAAGGCGGCAAAGAAAACAAGCGCGTCACGCAGTACGCGTATACACATGGCTATGTAAAACAAAGATGCGATATTCATCGTTTAAATTTAAATTCTTCGAATTCTAGTAGCGCGCGCCGGACCAGACCATTAATTGTAGGTTTATAACCTACCAGGACGCGAGCCGAGTTGGACTCGTCGGTCCAATATTTGGAACAAATATTTTACGAGTATCACCCGTTAACATTGGTATAGCTTGTATTGTTTATAAGATTTTTCTAAAAAAGCCCCTGACAGTTGAAGCCAGCCTGGTTCGATGTATTTTAATTTTCGGACGCTGATTCCGAATCACCCCACATGACACAGGGTTAAAATGATCCCTTGTCGAGATATTGGCGGAAAACTGTCTCGATCACGTGATATGACTATGTTTATATAATTATAAGGCCGGACGTTAGTCTAATTTTTCGTTAGTGTTAGGGTTTCAGCATATATGCTTCAGCTTTAGAGATTGGGTTAGGGTTAGGGTTGGGACCAAATTATAGAGGGTCGCAGGGTTTCGAATAGTCATTCAGTTAACGGGTGATAGTGATACTCGCAAAATATTTGTTTCATCGAGTCCAACTCGGCGCGTGTCTTGGTAGGTTAAAAACCTACAATCATTCAGGACCACTTAGAGAACGTGTTTAAAAAGTCACGTGACAGTCGAGTGTAGAGTGATTAATCATCATCCGAGGATTTTACATTTTATAGTTTAAATTATACTCTTCGACTTCATTGAAATTAAACTTAAAGTACAATATCACAAGTTGACATGGATAATATATTGATTAACATTTAACGTTTATGGTTTATTGCATAATGAGTGGGTGATTGTATTGGTAGTTAATAATATCACACAATATATTATGTCCACCGAAAGTTTATCAATAACTTGATTTTGATTAAATTTTTGGCAAATATCACCATTATTATTATACATCTGCATCACCAAGATTAAAACGAAATCAACATTCCCAAATAATTTAAATTAAAATACCGTGTTTGTAATCAAAACAAAAATATATATCTAATATTTATTAACTGAATATGAATTATATGGTATTGTTTACCTTATTGTTTACTTGGGGACCCCAGGCTATAATGTTCATAATGATAAACATAGAATAAAGATTCGGCGGAATGACAGGCTGAGCGCCGCCCAGTAAGTTTGAGTAAGTAAGGTATTGTAAGGTATTGTTCGAGGATAACAGTAAACTGTACTTATTTATTAAGCTTTTGATTACACACATTATCGTAGGTCTTCGGACATCAGAAATCAACCTGAAAATAATAATTATCGTTGTAGTAGGTATCTGGTATTATCTGGTATTATATGAGGTAAATTAACACGTAATGTTTTTACTAACCTGTCACGTGACCAAACAGGTAGAAGCGTTTTTATATTCAGAATTTACTTGGGAAACCCAATCTTAAATGTAATAATATAACGGAGTGATAGTTAAGTGGCGTTTTACACTCTAAACTTGACCATTGTTAATGGTCTGGCCCGGCGTGCGCTACTTCGTAGCACTTGCCGTAACATTTCGAGAAGAAAGCGGCGCGCGCTACTTCGAAGAAATTTAGACGAGTAACATCCGTCAAACTCCAAACCCTTTCGCAATGTTTACAGATATTGGGCGGGTGACTAGTTGCAAATGATGACCCTTCAATTCGAATAAGTTTATATTTTAATGAAATTTACCGATTTGAACTTGAAAATTTGATACTAACAAACAAAATCCTCAGCCTGGAATAAAGGTTTCCGCGCACTCTCAATAATGCACCACCAACAATCAGTCATAGACAACGAGGATATGGTGTCAATTATCAGCGATATGATGGCTGATCTGAACAGTGAAAAGGTAAATGAACTTCTAGATGATGATGTAGAGCTAGAGTTGTTATTTTCACTGAAGAAACAAGAGCGGGAAGGTGAGGTCCAAGTAGAGCCCGCCACAGAACACAGGGAGTTTCTAAAGGGCGGTATCTCAGATCCAACACAGAAAAGGAAACCTGGAGCCTTAAAGGGGATTTACAGGAAAGCAGACTATTTTATTGACAAGCACTTCTTTCCGGAGCTACTAGAGCTAGACTACGGAGTTAAGGCTGAGAAGAAACTGAAGAGACGGAGAATAAAGCCAACGCAACTAATAAAGCAGCTCTATTACAAGATAGACTACAAGATTGACGAAAAGTTCTTCCCGCAACTGCTTGAAGTGGACTACGGCAGCTACCCTCGTAAACATTATATTCCGTTGATCAAATCTGCCCGTGAGGTTACCGACGAGGAAATCTATGAAAACATTACACCTTTAAAATTGAATCCCATCGTAATTGTAACGGACTGCACAGGCCCGAGTGACAATGTACATGGAGACCCGAGTTCCGAGCGTGAAGTGTTTGAGACACACAGAGAGACACAGAGAGAACGACTGAAGAGGATGATCAGCACGAGGCGGGAATCTGGAAAACCTACATTGTCGGACACTGTTATGGAAATATTATTCGGGTTAGCAAAATATCACAATCTTTTGTTTAATTGCAATCATTTTTACCAGACCTTCGTTGAAATTGTTTTGAATTTAACTAAATTTGTATTTTGAGCTTTTTAACGGTAACAGCCTCAGGGCATTGTATCATGGTAGGGTTAGGGTCAGTGAGTTTTATACAGAACAATATGAATCCTTTTAAAATCTTTTAAAATTTTCAGGTTACCAACTTTACTCCGGAATAAATCATCATTTAGTGAAGCAGGGACACCGAGTCCAATGTCAGACTCAAAACTATCTATCCCATCTCCGACAGAAGTAAACGGTAAGGATTTACTGAATGACGAAAACAGTTTTAAGAAATACAATGCTTCTGCCCCCAAAATTCTGGTTACCTTTTTATTAGCGTAAATAGGTCAACTTAAGGGTAGGTGCTTTGAGACGGATAGCTAATTGTTTATCCTTTACGGCAGTTAGAAATGAATCAAACAAGCCGTCAAATCTTGTGAATTATTTGCTCAGATTTAACAAAGATATCGATAATATTAATTTTACGTGATGCATTTTTCGTTAGTTCCAAATTATGCTGATTATGTGTATTTACAAGGTAAGCAAACTTAAAGATATAAAATGTTAAGTGTACGACATTTGCTTACACACTGTGCATTACACTGAAACTGTCTTCTTCGCAAGTCATAAGTACACATTTTTCATTCTTATTAGATTACTGTTAAATTTGTTCGTTAGTGATGGTTCATTCGGAAAAAATTAACATCGATATTATTTGGTTTGATGTATTCTTCGAATAAGTGATAATAGCCCCCCCCCCCCCCCCCCCCCCCCCCCCCCGTAATATAATGTATACACACTGAACAGAATTGCTGGTAAAGATGTTCAACACCTCGATACTCAACAACACTAGTTACTATAAGCCTATCCCTTTGTGTAATGATTGTTGAATAATGAGAACTCTAGTTTTTACTTTTCCTCATTTCTATAACTTTTTCTGTAAAACGTCGCAAGTTGGCAGTTGTTATTACCAGACTGTATTTAAAAAATGTTTTGTTGTACCTAGGAAGGCATTGTGCTGTACTAGCGAGTGATGTAGGAGACCGAGTAATCCTACACTATGCAATGTGTTTGAGGGAGTGGTGTGTGAGGTGCTTTAAAAGAAGAGAAAAGGAGGAGGCGGAGGAGCCCTCTCCAGACCCACCACAGGAACCAGCCCCAGAAGAGAAGAGCTCTCTCCCAGTCCCCCTCCCGGTTACCCCTCCCCGAACTAATAAGAGCAAGTTAGAGGCAGCCTTGAGGGAGGCCACATCCGCTGACCCTTACAACCGTCAGATAAGCTCAGTTTCTGAGGACTCCCCGGAAGCTCTCAAGAGACAAACTGGTGCTTTCCAGAGTTTTCAACACAAAGAGAGGAGGAGCATCTCGCGGAAGAGGCTGAAATCAAGTCCTGGGAAGTTAGAAAGAACAAAGTTCAACAGCCAGGAAAGTAGGGATAAAACTGATCAGCCAGATATCATACGAGCAGGCGAAGCAGCATACCACATTCCGGACCTTGAGTTAGGTATCAGAACAGAGCCCCTCATTATTAGAGAGACTGACCTGTACACACCTGATCCAATCACTTCGCTTAACTTGTCAGTGATAAGTCTCGTGACCCAGGAGCCTGAAAACCCTGTCTGTCAAACCGTGCCAGTGCAGGTACATCACCAGTCCTTACATCACCTGGTCGAATATCCTATCAATCAGAACACTCAGACTGATCAGTTTCAAGAGATCAACATAGACTGTTTTGTTGAGGAAGGGACTGAGGAAGAAATGGGAAGATTTGGTGTAATAAAAAGTAGAAAGAAGGATGGAAGTGAAAAGAGAGATAAGAGAAAACATGATCCGAAAAGAGAAGTTCACAATGTTCACACAATTGAGCACAGAGAGTCGGCAGTTAGCAATGATGAGCTAAGTCGCCCTAAGAATTTCAGCAAGACAAAGCAGTACAAGAAAAGACTGCACAATGATTTACCCGAGGAGAGGAGGGGTGCTAAACCGGACCTCGTCACCACAGCTCTGCTTGCTGGAGCGGGAGCGGGAGTTATTAACTCTGCTGACATCACGGATAACCCCCTTCTAGCTGAGTTCAAATATACTCAGTCACGAGAAAATACCGTCGAGGAGGAAGCTGAGAAGGAAGCTGAGAAGGAAGTGGAGAGCAGGATATCAGTTTCACAACCTAATCTGTCACGTGACGCAGTGTCACGTGACGCTTCTAAAACCAGTGTGAACACTTCCTGTGAGTGGGATCCTGATTATCTGTCTACTCTCTCTGCAGTGTCACATGACATAACACGTGACCTTTACGGTTAGTTTCTCAGTTAGTTAAACAAGTTAAATAACTCTTTCTAGTCCCTCAATCGTCCCGACAATACCTTTTTCTTACCACGGGGGCTATCATTTTAGTAATCAGACTAGCCGAGTGGCTTAGTTGGTTAGTCTGCCTGCTTGTTAATCGCGAGGTACCAGGTTCGATTCCCGGCTGAGCGTCAACCAGTCGTTGACGCTCAGCTAAGGATCCGAGTGATCTATGCAGCCCCCGTTCCACTCAGCCGAATGCTCGAGAAATGGGATGTGAGGGTTAAATGAGGACCTGCCCATTGCAAAAATCTCGGGCGAAGAAAGTATGGTACACACTACCGTCACTGGCCTAATGTATAATTGAATCCTTCGGCTGTGATTGTCCGAAGTAAAATAAGTGTTAGATAAAAAAGAACTGAAGCTTGAGGGCCTAAATCGTGCCGGTGGATATATTGGACGAAACAAATATCCTATTATGTACAAGAGCAGAAACTAAAACGATACTAAAAATACGAGGTAGTCCTACAAGAAACTTTTTTAGAAAGTTTGTTATTTTTTCAAACAATTTCTGTGGCTAGGATTTTACCGCATAGTACGCGATAGTACGATCACTTGAGACTGAGTAGATCGAGAGTAAATGATTTACATGACCAGCTCGTATAAAACAAGGAAGCGAACCCCTGCACTGCTTACCACAAGTTTCGTGTTAGTGTTGTTGTGTTGAGTGTTGTGTGAAGCAGATAATAAAATGATGAGCAGTAGGGACCATTTCATTAGCGTCCGAACATTAGGTTAATACTTGGGACTCTTTTTTAGCTCATTTGGGAGCACCAGATTGAATGTGGGGTACACCATGATTAATTATTAATGAAGGAATCATCACGTAAATTACACAATTAATTAGAAATTCAGTATTCCTAATAATTCAGGAACTGGCCAGACAGTGTCTAATGTGGACAGGAGGGGGACAATACGAGGTCCGTGTAATGTGTGTGTAGACTGTGAACAATACGAGGTGGACAAGGGACTAGGTTGCGAGTACTGTGGGTGCCCCCCTGGAAAACACAAGAACATGGGGCATTTTAACCAGGTAAACACAAGAACATGGGGCATTTTAACCAGGTAAACACAAGAACATGGGGCATTTTAACCAGGTAAACACAAGAACATGGGGCATTTTAACCAGGTAAACACAAGAACATGGGACATTTCAACCAGGTAAACACAAGAACATGGGGCATTTTAACCAGGTAAACACAAGAACATGGGGCATTTTAACCTGGTAAACACAAGAGCATCAGGTAAGCATTTGGATTTAGGCCTTGCATTTTATTTTATTTTAACTTCCCCATCAAAGTACAATATATCATCAGACTCTGCTCTAAAGATCTGATATTCAGGTGACTAAATCTGTGGGGGACATAATGCCTCTACGACAGGAAGCCCCTGCTCACCACAGAGAAGCCCCTGCTCACCACAGAGAAGTCCCTGCCCACCACAGCACACTAAGAAGTGAAGAGTGCGGCCCTGCAGCCTACTCAACAGGACTTACAGTGGAGAAAGAAAGCAGGAAACCGCTGAGTGTGGCTGATCTGTCACTACTACCAGCAGGCATGACTCTAGAGAGTGCTATCAAGTAAGTTAACAGTAAGTTAACAGTAAGTTAACCGTAAGTTAACAGTAAGTTAACAGTAAGTTAACAGTAAGTTAACAGTAAGTTAACAGTAAGTTAACAGTAAGTTAACAGTAAGTTAACAGTAAGTTAACAGTAAGTTAACAGTAAGTTAACAGTAAGTTAACAGTAAGTTAACCGTAAGTTAACAGTAAGTTAACAGTAAGTTAACCGTAAGTTTGCTATTCGAGCTGCTTCTTCAAGATCTTCATCTTTACCATACATCGTAATATTTGATTTATCTGCAAATACCCTTTAGCTACCTGACTCTAGAACGAGCTGAATCTACTGATCTAGTGCACCGACACTCCTCAACTCCTGAAATCAACCATATTTCTGTAGAGGTAAACTTCTTTAGAACTAGACACAACCATATTTCTGTAGAGGTAAACTTCTTTAGAACTAGACACAAGCCAATATTGTTGTCACTAAGACAATGATCTAATTGCAAACAATTATCTAATTGCAAACAGTTATAACCACAGTAAAAGGGGGAAAAACAAATTACCAACTGTTTCAGAGGGACAGGCAGAGTTCCAGATCTGACTTTAGTGACTTTGGAGCTGGACATTCGGTTAGTTAGAAACAAATACACGTGACCCCTCTCCTAAATACACGTGACCCCTCTCCCAAATACACGTGACCCCTCTCCCAAATATACGTGACCCTCTCCCAAATACACGTGACCCCTCTCCCAAATATACGTTACCCTCTCCCAAATACACGTGACCCCTCTCCCAAATACACGTGACCCCTCTCCCAAATACACGTGAACCTCTCCCAAATACACATGACCCCCTCTCTCAAATACACGTGACCCCCTCTCCCAAATACACGTGACCCCTCTCCCAAATACACGTGACCCCTCTCCCAAATACACGCGAACCTCTCCCAAATACACATGACCCCCTCTCTCAAATACACGTGACCCCCTCTCCCAAATACACGTGACCCCTCTCCCAAATACACGTGACCCCTCTCCCAAATACACGTGACCCCTCTCCCAAATACACGTGACCCCCTCTCCCAGACATACGATGGGAGGACCAAGAGAAGTGTGTCTCCAGCACCAGTCTCCCCGCTACCGGTGTCAGGGGATGAGTTTGAACAACAAGACAGCAGCGAGGACCTGGCTAACCAGACTAAAACTCTAACCTTCAGACAAAGCGGTGAGTTTCCTGGCTACTAACCGGAACCCTGAACTACACAATCAGTAGTTAATCCTAAACTACTTACTGAACTAGGTACCTGAACTACTTACTGAATTAGGTCCCTGAACTACTTACTGAACTAGGTACCTGAACTACTTACTGAACTAGGTACCTGAACTACTTACTGAACTAGGTACCTGAACTACTTACTGAACTATGTACCTGAACTATTTACTGAACTAGGTACCTGAACTACTTACTGAACTAGGTACCTGAACTACTTACTGAACTAGGTACCTGAACTACTTACTGAACTAGGTACCTGAACTACTTACTGAACTAGGTACCTGAACTATTTACTGAACTAGGTACCTGAACTATTTACTGAACTAGGTACCTGAACTACTTACTGAACTAGGTACCTGAACTACTTACTGAACTAGGTACCTGAACTACTTACTGAACTAGGTACCTGAACTACTTACTGAACTAGGTACCAGAACTACTTACTGAACTAGGTACCTGAACTATTTACTGAACTAGGTACCTGAACTACTTACTGAACTAGGTACCTGAACTATTTACTGAACTAGGTACCTGAACTACTTACTGAACTAGGTACCTGAACTACTTACTGAACTAGGTACCTGAACTACTTACTGAACTAGGTACCTGAACTATACTTACTGAACTAGGTACCTGAACTACTTACTGAACTAGGTACCTGAACTACTTACTGAACTAGGTACCTGAACTACTTACTGAACTAGGTACCTGAACTACTTACTGAACTAGGTACCTAAACTACTTACTGAACTAGGTACCTGAACTACTTACTGAACTAGGTACCTGAACTACTTACTGAACTAGGTACCTGAACTACTTACTGAACTAGGTACCTGAACTACTTACTGAACTAGGTACCTGAACTACTTACTGAACTAGGTACCTGAACTACTTACTGAACTAGGTACCTGAACTACTTACTGAACTAGGTACCTGAACTACTTACTGAACTAGGTACCTGAACTACTTACTGAACTAGGTCCCTGAACTACTTACTGAACTAGGTACCTGAACTACTTACTGAACTAGGTACCTGAACTACTTACTGAACTAGGTACCTGAACTACTTACTGAACTAGGTACCTGAACTACTTACTGAACTAGGTACCTGAACTACTTACTGAACTAGGTACCTGAACTACTTACTGAACTAGGTACCTGAACTACTTACTGAACTAGGTACCTGAACTACTTACTGAACTAGGTACCTGAACTACTTACTGAACTAGGTACCTGAACTACTTACTGAACTAGGTACCTGAACTACTTACTGAACTAGGTACCTGAACTACTTACTGAACTAGGTACCTGAACTACTTACTGAACTAGGTACCTGAACTACTTACTGAACTAGGTACCTGAACTACTTACTGAACTAGGTACCTGAACTACTTACTGAACTAGGTACCTGAACTACTTACTGAACTAGGTACCTGAACTACTTACTGAACTAGGTACCTGAACTACTTACTGAACTAGGTACCTGAACTACTTACTGAACTAGGTACCTGAACTACTTACTGAACTAGGTACCTGAACTACTTACTGAACTAGGTACCTGAACTACTTACTGAACTAGGTACCTGAACTACTTACTGAACTAGGTACCTGAACTACTTACTGAACTAGGTACCTGAACTACTTACTGAACTAGGTACCTGAACTACTTACTGAACTAGGTACCTGAACTACTTACTGAACTAGGTACCTGAACTACTTACTGAACTAGGTCCCTGAACTACTTACTGAACTAGGTACCTGAACTACTTACTGAACTAGGTACCTGAACTACTTACTGAACTAGGTACCTGAACTACTTACTGAACTAGGTACCTGAACTACTTACTGAACTAGGTACCTGAACTACTTACTGAACTAGGTACCTGAACTACTTACTGAACTAGGTACCTGAACTACTTACTGAACTAGGTACCTGAACTACTTACTGAACTAGGTACCTGAACTACTTACTGAACTAGGTACCTGAACTACTTACTGAACTAGGTACCTGAACTACTTACTGAACTAGGTACCTGAACTACTTACTGAACTAGGTACCTGAACTACTTACTGAACTAGGTACCTGAACTACTTACTGAACTAGGTACCTGAACTACTTACTGAACTAGGTACCTGAACTACTTACTGAACTAGGTACCTGAACTACTTACTGAACTAGGTACCTGAACTACTTACTGAACTAGGTACCTGAACTACTTACTGAACTAGGTACCTGAACTACTTACTGAACTAGGTACCTGAACTACTTACTGAACTAGGTACCTGAACTACTTACTGAACTAGGTACCTGAACTACTTACTGAACTAGGTACCTGAACTACTTACTGAACTAGGTACCTGAACTACTTACTGAACTAGGTACCTGAACTACTTACTGAACTAGGTACCTGAACTACTTACTGAACTAGGTACCTGAACTACTTACTGAACTAGGTACCTGAACTACTTACTGAACTAGGTACCTGAACTACTTACTGAACTAGGTACCTGAACTACTTACTGAACTAGGTACCTGAACTACTTACTGAACTAGGTACCTGAACTACTTACTGAACTAGGTACCTGAACTACTTACTGAACTAGGTACCTGAACTACTTACTGAACTAGGTACCTGAACTACTTACTGAACTAGGTACCTGAACTACTTACTGAACTAGGTACCTGAACTACTTACTGAACTAGGTACCTGAACTACTTACTGAACTAGGTACCTGAACTACTTACTGAACTAGGTACCTGAACTACTTACTGAACTAGGTACCTGAACTACTTACTGAACTAGGTACCTGAACTATTTACTGAACTAGGTACCTGAACTACTTACTGAACTAGGTACCTGAACTACTTACTGAACTAGGTACCTGAACTACTTACTGAACTAGGTACCTGAACTACTTACTGAACTAGGTACCTGAACTACTTACTGAACTAGGTACCTGAACTACTTACTGAACTAGGTACCTGAACTACTTACTGAACTAGGTACCTGAACTACTTACTGAACTAGGTACCTGAACTACTTACTGAACTAGGTACCTGAACTACTTACTGAACTAGGTACCTGAACTACTTACTGAACTAGGTACCTGAACTACTTACTGAACTAGGTACCTGAACTACTTACTGAACTAGGTACCTGAACTACTTACTGAACTAGGTACCTGAACTACTTACTGAACTAGGTACCTGAACTACTTACTGAACTAGGTACCTGAACTACTTACTGAACTAGGTACCTGAACTACTTACTGAACTAGGTACCTGAACTACTTACTGAACTAGGTACCTGAACTACTTACTGAACTAGGTACCTGAACTACTTACTGAACTAGGTACCTGAACTACTTACTGAACTAGGTACCTGAACTACTTACTGAACTAGGTACCTGAACTACTTACTGAACTAGGTACCTGAACTACTTACTGAACTAGGTACCTGAACTACTTACTGAACTAGGTACCTGAACTACTTACTGAACTAGGTACCTGAACTACTTACTGAACTAGGTACCTGAACTACTTACTGAACTAGGTACCTGAACTACTTACTGAACTAGGTACCTGAACTACTTACTGAACTAGGTACCTGAACTACTTACTGAACTAGGTACCTGAACTACTTACTGAACTAGGTACCTGAACTATTTACTGAACTAGGTACCTGAACTACTTACTGAACTAGGTACCTGAACTACTTACTGAACTAGGTACCTGAACTACTTACTGAACTAGGTACCTGAACTACTTACTGAACTAGGTACCTGAACTACTTACTGAACTAGGTACCTGAACTACTTACTGAACTAGGTACCTGAACTACTTACTGAACTAGGTACCTGAACTACTTACTGAACTAGGTACCTGAACTACTTACTGAACTAGGTACCTGAACTACTTACTGAACTAGGTACCTGAACTACTTACTGAATTAGGTACCTGAACTACTTACTGAATTAGGTACCTGAACTACTTACTGAACTAGGTCCCTGAACTATACTTACTGAACTAGGTACCTAAACTACTTACTGAACTAGGTCCCTGAACTACTTACTGAACTATGTACCTGAACTACTTACTGAACTAGGTACCTGAACTACTTACTGAACTAGGTACCTGAACTATTTACTGAACTAAGTACCTGAACTACTTACTGAACTAGGTACCTGAACTATTTACTGAACTAGGTACCTGAACTACTTACTGAACTAGGTACCTGAACTACTTACTGAACTAGGTCCCTGAACTATACTTACTGAACTAGGTACCTGAACTACTTACTGAACTAGGTCCCTGAACTACTTACTGAACTAGGTACCTGAACTACTTACTGAACTAGGTCCCTGAACTACTTACTGAACTAGGTCCCTGAACTATTTACTGAACTAGGTACCTGAACTACTTACTGAACTAGGTACCTGAACTACTTACTGAACTAGGTCCCTGAACTACTTACTGAACTAGGTCCCTGAACTATTTACTGAACTAGGTCCCTGAACTACTTACTGAACTAGGTACCTGAACTACTTACTGAACTAGGTCCCTGAACTACTTACTGAACTAGGTACCTGAACTATTTACTGAACTAGGTACCTGAACTACTTACTGAACTAGGTACCTGAACTATTTACTGAACTAGGTACCTGAACTACTTACTGAACTAGGTACCTGAACTACTTACTGAACTAGGTCCCTGAACTATACTTACTGAACTAGGTACCTGAACTACTTACTGAACTAGGTCCCTGAACTACTTACTGAACTAGGTACCTGAACTACTTACTGAACTAGGTCCCTGAACTACTTACTGAACTAGGTACCTGAACTAGGTACCTGAACTATTTACTGAACTATGTACCTGAACTACTTACTGAACTAGGTAACTAAACTACTTACTGAACTAGGTACCTGAACTACTAATACTACTACAATCCCACATTTTGATTGTAATCCACCCTGCAGCTCTAGACACAGAGTTGAGGATAATCCCACTAAATGACGAAGGAATCATCAGAGGGATGGTGAAGGAGTCCATCTCTTTAAAAGTGGATATAATTCCCCGGAACATGAGGAAACAACACATAACCTGGTTACACAACCACAAGAAGATTAGTCCCCGATACAGGGTCAGATTCGTAGACGACCGCAGGGAGGTGAGATCCCCATTTATCAAATTATTGGCGCAATTAAGGTTCAATTCAGAATGAATCAAGTTTAGTAACCGTTTAGTAACCGTTTAGATACGGTTTAGCTACCGTTTATTTGCCGTTTAGTAACCGTTTAGCTACCGTTTAGTTGCCGTATAGTTACCGTTTAGTTACCGTATAGTTACCGTTTAGTAACCGTTTAGCTACCGTTTAGTTACCGTTTATTTGCCGTTTAGTAACCGTATAGTAACTGTTTAGTAACCGTTTAGTAACCGTTTATTTGCCGTTTAGTAACCGTATAGTAACTGTTTAGTAACCGTTTAGTAACCGTTTATTTGCCGTTTAGTAACCGTATAGTAACTGTTTAGTAACCGTTTAGTAACCGTTTATTTGCCGTTTAGTAACCGTATAGTAACTGTTTAGTTACCGTATAGTAAACAATCACCCTCCCAGGTGCACATAGTAAGTCTCCGGAAGAAAGATGCTGGCATCTACACATGCCAGATTAAATATAACGACGGTACTGGAAGTAAAACCACTGCATGCACGATGATACTGGATGTTCAAGTCCCTCAGTTCATCCCCAAAGACTTGTAGGTTACAATGGTGTTCACAATGTTTGAGACTACATTTAGAATGATAATGCTTGAAATGGTTCTTGTTACTCCCATCTTGGAGTGAAGCTTGATGGACTGATTGTACCAGTCACTGTAGATCAGTGTAGAGTGTAAATCAAACAGCATCATTTCTACCTTAATTAGTCAGCCTGCAAGTGCAAACCTTAAATATAGCATTGTCCTAGATTTGTAGCCTTTAGATGTGTAATGAGGAAAATGTTTGGTAGTGAGAGCTTGTGAGACCAAGAAAGCTGAACCTTCAATCTTTCCTTAATCTGGTATCATTGTCTGGCATTGAAACAAGACCTCGACTATAGCATGAGAATGACCCACTGTGCTCCCCAGGCATATACCCACTAACTCAGACACCGTCAGATGGAGCGTACAGGAGGGAGAAACCAGCGCAAGTAAACCCAAACTTGCTTTTAAAACAACCAGTGCTAAAAACAATCAAAGACGCAGTGTGAACTCTTACTCTAATGAAACTGATAACAATGATTGGGGAGATGATGATGGAGAAGATGGAGATGATTGATTTTTGTGATGAATTGTTGTTGGTAACGTCATATCACGCGTCATGACGTCACACCACGTGTCGTGATGTCGCAGCACGTGTCGTGACGTCACACACCACGTGTCGTGATCACAGTTTATACCTCTAGAGCTGAGAAGGGTCGACGGGTCCTCGAAGATTACTCTTATCAGTCAGCAGCACGTGATCAGAGGCCTGCTCAAATTCCACCATGTGTATCGTAATTCTAGAGTCGCTCTGAACAGGGAGCTTATCATTGAATCAAAAAGAGATCAATTAATTCGATTTTCAAAGCATATTTAGGATTTTACATTTCAGCTTAAATTTTTCCCATAACAATACAATTAAATTAATTAAATGTTGTTGTTCTAGTATTAATTGTTTTGTATGACAATTGAATTTGTTATTGTAATATATTTCCTTCTTATCCAATAATTAAACATTACTAATGATCCCCACTCACTTCTTATCCAATAATTAAGCATTAAACATTACTACTGATCCCCACTTACCTGTTGACCCCGACAGAAAGGGCCAGGAGCGTACAGAGTGAGTTGTGGTCCTGCAAGAGGCCAGTGTCTCCCCAGATTGAGCGTCTGGAAGAAGGTAACCCCCTTCCCCCACCCAGTAGTGTCCACAAATGTGTCTGTAGCTGTGTCGCATGTTGTTTCTATCTGACCGATGTAGAGAGAGCCGGGGAGGAAGGGTTGGTTATGCGGAGGGGTGGTGTTGTGGAGACAGCTCATAGAGTCTAGAGGGAGGAGGGTTACCACCCAGTTTAGCATAGGTTCTGTTCCGAACAGGACTGGTTCTGTTATTCCCTTCATGTAATTGCGAGGATCCAGCATGTGAACATGACCTTATATGGTAGTGTTACTATGGTAACATGACCTTATATGGCAGTGTTACTATGGTAACATGACCTTATATGGTAGCACGTTACTATGGTAAAATTACCTTCTGGGGAAATTAAGAACATAATATGGAAATAAAAATAAAACGGGAGAAAATGTCAGATCCAAATTTTATTAATTTACAATGTTGATAATTGAGAGACAGTGAGTTAGATATAACCTGTGTTCATATGCCCGTCGCTTAAAACTACAATGTCAAGTCTTCCTGGTGTTAACCTGAAAGGATTACACAGGATTAAAATTAAATTATAGGCACACTATTTGGTTTAATATTCTGAACTAAAACAGTTGAGCTGGTGTTTTTATTCCACGACAGTTAGTATTGAAACGTACTGAGTTTGAGCGATTAATATCGGTATGGGTCTTCGTTATAACTGAAACTCATCAAAATGCTGCTTTGTAGGATACAGTTCATTTTAAAGTGTGACTTTTCTCGTTTGCAAATCAAATCTTTCAATTTTCACCACGCTGTGAAAATAAAGAAGCTGGCAAAATGTTGAACAAAAGAAGTGGACATATGGAGCTGACTGATGAGGAGGAGTTTGAACTAGTTAGTTTTTAACGATATTATACGACCAGGTGTTTAAACAACTTTAAAAGATCAGCCCTCTCTCTCTGCTCAGACCATTCGACTGGCGTTTATAAGTTTATACCTTCTCCTCCCACAACCTTAGCACCTAATGATACTGGTTCTAACTATTGTGGCACTTGCCACTTGCCACCAGGTCACTGCTTGTGATAAGGATGAGTGCCCTGATCCTGGTGAGGAACCTGCTATATTTGTGAAGTCAATACACAGAGCTGACAGAAACGAGAACTACAGTTTCAAGTTTGCAGTTGCCGGCACGAAACCTCTGTGCAAATGTAAAATTAACCTGAAAAAGGTGGTGAGAAGGAACGTTCATCCTAAACTTGTGGATACTGACTTCGAGATTTCTCTGAAGACACTCTCTGAAGAAGAAGTAGCGGAGTGGAATGAGAGCTGGTCCCTGAAGACACTCTCTGAAGAAGAAGTGGCGGAGTGGAATGAGAGCCGGTCTGAGGGGCAGCATTACAGTCACGTAGTGGTAGGTAAAGTGAAGACAGGGAGACTGAAGTGCCGTGATCTGGCTCCTTACCTAGTCAGATACGGAGACAGGAGACAGAATGAGGAGGGGGAGGACACTACTACAGCCCACCACCACGGCAAGGCATTCTTCTTCATAGAACTGGAGGGCTGCAAGACACCGGACCCAGGACCTAATAAACCATTTATTTTTGTGAAGAAGTTCCATGTAGCTACTCTGAATGAGACTTATAGTTTCAGTTTTACAGTTGCTACCGGTGGTATCAAACCTCCCTTCGGATCGGAGATTCACTTGAAAAAGGTTGTGAAAGGAAAAGAAGATCCAGAAGTTGAGGACACGGACTTTAAAGTAAGTTTGAAGATACTATCAGAAGAGGAGATAAAGGAGTGGATGGGAAGAGAAGGGTCGCCCTAACCGTTTAGTACCCTTCAAACACGCCATCAGGGGAACAGTAGAGACAAGAGTGTTGAGTTGTCAGGATCAGGGTCCCTATATTGTTATCTACGGGGACAGAGAACCAGCTGGTGAGGGGGATCAGCTCAAACCTAGAGGCTTCTTCTACATTCTGGTGGACGGGTGTAAGCCACCTCGTGAACATTAAATCTAGCACTGATTAAGTTTCAAACATTTTAATTTTACAGAACAGAATGAAGACGATTAACACATGATTTTTGAAAACTTCTGTTCTACAAATTATTGTATCATTTGTATGTCTCAAGAATCCCTTCAGAACATGGTTTCAATACAGTACCTCGTAACAGTGCTATTACACTATTATTGGTTTCCTCTCTTATTTAAAAATAGTAGCTCTGAATAAGCTATTGTAAAACAACTATTAGCTTATACCGATCAAAATAACTGAATTAAAAATGAATTGTGGATTTAATATAATCTCCCCAGACACACTCACCCCACAGATACGTTGGAATCTTTTCCTTTAATTGTAAAAACCAGTTTGTTATCCAGCAATAAGTAAGCTCTGTCTCGCACTTTACCGACTGTCAGGGTCCCAGCACTTTCTATCATCTTGCTGTATACTATAACACCATTCGTCTGTAAATTTAAAAACATTTCAGAAAAATTATATCAAATAAATAATATTTCAGTTCTACATTTTATTTTGAACTGGTTTAGTAATCTTATTTTCAAGTACCACTATTACTACTACTAATAATTTCAAAGAACCTGTTTGTTTTCCTCCATTGAGAGTGGCTGCACATTGTACGTTTCACTTCCACACTGATTTATAAAGCTCTCGTTCAGGATGCTCCCCCAATATACCATCTCCACTTTACCGTAACTCTTCTTCGTGGAGTTCTTAGGAACCTCGTATACAGGACCGTACTTACTGAGTTATAATTACTTAGGAACCTCATATACAGGACCGTACTTACTGAGTTATAATTACTTAGGAACCTCGTATACAGGACCGTACTTACTGAGTTATAATTACTTAGGAACCTCGTATACAGGACCGTACTTACTGAGTTATAATTACTTAGGAACCTCGTATACAGGACCGTACTTACTGAGTTATAATTACTTAGGAACCTCGTATACAGGACCGTACTTACTGAGTTATAATTACTTAGGAACCTCGTATACAGGACCGTACTTACTGAGTTATAATTATTTAGGAACCTCGTATACAGGACCGTACTTTCTGAGTTATAATTAATTAGGAACCTCGTATACAGGACCGTACTTACTGAGTTATAATTACTTAGGAACCTCGTATACAGGACCGTACTTACTAAGTTATAATTACTTAGGAACCTCGTATACAGGACCGTACTTACTGAGTTATAATTACCTGTTGACGGCCCTAATGTCCCAGTATTTAAGAGTAGTGTCTCCAGCTTCATTGAGCGGAGCGTCATAGTCGTAACTGGTGGTATGTGGTACAAAGTTAGTAGCGTCTTTGTTTCCCTTAGCTCCACTCGTGTACCCAAAATTAGAGCCGCCGTGAAACATATACATATTAATACTGGCTCCATACGCTAACATCTCATCTAGCTTATCTGAAACATGTACGTTAAGTTGGCCGGAATTTTGCTGCGAAATCGGATGAATTTTCGACAAAAAGTCTTACAATTCGGGTAAAATGCCCTCCCATAGCGGGGACTGCGAGGCCTTTTGTTACGCCACTGAGAAGACGATATGTGAGTTTACTACTATTTACATTACTATAGTTAATAGTTAATAGTAGGCACAGGTTACACTATTAGTTAATATTTCATCATTGCACCTTCAGGTTTTATAAAAAGTTTACAAATAGCCATTAGCTATATTTGCATTCTTACTTGCAGTGGCAGTTCTAGATTTAGAAGGGAACTTAGAGCCCCAGTGAGAGAGCCACCCAGGATAGAACTCGATATTAACAGGGGGTCCTCCTGAGTTATACTGAGCCTGAATATCAAAGTGGGAGCTGATGTTTCCTCCTCCGAAATCAACAGTGTTGTAAAGTTCAGGCAGCGTTCCGCAGTTCAGCATTCCTTTACCTGGTGAGCAGGTGTTAACGTTATCTCCTTTATACCTGTTAACGTTATCTCCTTTATACCTGTTAACGTTATCTCCTTTATACCTGTTAACGTTATCTCCTTTATACCTGTTAACGTTATCTCCTTTATACCTGTTAACGTTATCTCTTTTATACCTGGGCAGCAAGTGTTAACGTTATCTCCTTTATACCTGGACAGCGAGTGTTAACGTTATCTCCTTTATACCTGGGCAGCGAGTGTTAACGTTATCTCCTTTATACCTGGACAGCGAGTGTTAACGTTATCTCCTTTATACCTGGGCAGCGAGTGTTAACGTTCTCTCTTTTATACCTGGGCAGCAAGTGTTAACGTTCTCTCCTTTATACCTGGGCAGCAAGTGTTAACGTTATCTCCTTTATACCTGGGCAGCAAGTGTTAACGTTATCTCCTTTATACCTGGGCAGCAAGTGTTAACGTTATCTCCTTTATACCTGGGCAGCAAGTGTTAACGTTATCTCCTTTATACCTGGGCAGCAAGTGTTAACGTTATCTCCTTTATACCTGGGCAGCAAGTGTTAACGTTATCTCCTTTATAACTGGGCAGCAAGTGTTAACGTTATCTCCTTTATACCTGGGCAGCAAGTGTTAACGTTATCTCCTTTATACCTGGGCAGCGAGTGTTAACGTTATCTCCTTTATACCTGGGCAGCGAGTGTTAACGTTATCTCCTTTATACCTGGGCAGCGAGTGTTAACGTTCTCTCTTTTATACCTGGGCAGCAAGTGTTCATGTTAACGTTCTCTCCTTTATACCTGGGCAGCAAGTGTTAACGTTATCTCCTTTATACCTGGGCAGCAAGTGTTAACGTTATCTCCTTTATACCTGGGCAGCAAGTGTTAACGTTATCTCCTTTATACCTGGGCAGCAAGTGTTAACGTTATCTCCTTTATACCTGGGCAGCAAGTGTTAACGTTATCTCCTTTATACCTGGGCAGCAAGTGTTAACGTTATCTCCTTTATAACTGGGCAGCAAGTGTTAACGTTATCTCCTTTATACCTGGGCAGCAAGTGTTAACGTTATCTCCTTTATACCTGGGCAGCAAGTGTTAACGTTATCTCCTTTATACCTGGGCAGCAAGTGTTAACGTTATCTCCTTTATAACTGGGCAGCAAGTGTTAACGTTCTCTCCTTTATACCTGGGCAGCAAGTGTTAACGTTATCTCTTTTATACCTGGGCAGCAAGTGTTAACGTTATCTCCTTTATACCTGGGCAGCAAGTGTTAACGTTATCTCCTTTATAACTGGGCAGCAAGTGTTAACGTTATCTCTTTTATACCTGGGCAGCAAGTGTTAACGTTATCTCCTTTATACCTGGGCAGCAAGTGTTAACGTTCTCTCCTTTATACCTGGGCCTCTAACCTGGTCCCTACTAGTTATACCCCCCCCCCTCTAACCTGGTCCATACTAGTTACACCCCCCCCCCCTCTAACCTGGTCCATACTAGTTACACCCCCCCCCCCTCTAACCTGATCTCCACTAGTTATACCCCCCCCCCCCCCCCCCTCTAACCTGGTCCGTCTACTGTGTAAAGGAGTATGTCATCTCCTAGAGTAGCTCTAAAGTGCTGGGTCAGGGACTGGAGGTAGGGTTTATCACAGGCGGGGTTACTACCGTACTCGTTCTCTACCTGGGGTTGAGAGGTGGGTGAGAGGTGGGGGTGAGAGATGGGGACTGATATTGGGGTGAGAGGTGGGTGAGAGGTGGGGGTGAGATGGGGTAAGAGTTGGGGTGAGGGGGTCGGGGGGGGGGGGGCGGGGGTGAGAAGGGGCCGGGGGTGAGAGGGGGTGAGAGGTGGGGTTGAGAGGGGGTGAAAGGTGGGGTGAGATGGGGGTGAGAGGTGGGTAAGAGGTGGGGTAAAAATAGGGCAAGAGTTGGGGTTGAGAGGGCGTGAGAGGTGGGGGTGAGAGGTGGGGTGAGAGGGGGTGAGAGGTGGGGGTGAGAGGTGGGGTGAGAGGGGGTGAGAGGTGGGGGTGAGAGATGGGGTGAGAGGGGGTGAGAGGTGGGGGTGAGAGGTGGGGTGAGAGGTGGGGTGAGAGGGGGTGAGAGGTGGGGGTGAAAGGGGGTGAGAGGTGGGGGTGAGAGGTGGGGTGAGAGGTGGGGTTGAGAGGGCGTGAGAGGTGGGGTGAGAGGTGGGGTGAGAGGGGGTGAGAGGTGGGGGTAAGAGGTGGGGTGAGAGGGGGTGAGAGGTGGGGTGAGAGGTGGGGTTGAGAGTTGGGGTGAGAAATGAGAGGTGGGGGTGAGAGGGGTAAGAGGTGGAATTGAAAGGTGGGTGAGAGGTGGGGTTGAAGGCCATAAACAACAAACTATTCAAATAAATCACCTTTCATGTTGAACAGTAAATTCCACATTTCACGAAGCAAATAGGTGACCACGATATAAGGCTGCCTTCGTCTAATTTAAAAAAAATCTAAATCTTTTCAAACAATACATAATTATACATAATTGCATGCTTCTAAATAAACCCAGATATAAAAGGAGGAAACCAATGTAGCTCAAATTTCCAGTATCCCAGTATATCGAAACCCAAATTATGTATTGAAAGAGGGGTAACCAAAACACGGTAGTGTGCAGTAAGAAATACCACACCCGCAATAACATTGGGCCCTAGCAAAAAATTAATTAATTAAAGAATTAAAACATATAATATTGTATTTATAGAAAATATATAACTCTCAAGGCTCCTTCTCTGAGCTAACGACTTCGATCTCCTTCGAGGGCAACCCTTTTTGCTGCAGCTTGGATCTTCTTCGGTGCAAAGGCGTTTTTACACGTGTTTTTCAACAGAGGCGAAAAGATTTTAATCTCGCTATGATTTTATTTGTATCTGCTACTTTTTCTTTCCTGAACTTGCTGTTGTCGGTAGCTGTTTCAACGGCGGACCGCGGATTGTAACAATGGACCACAATAATTCTCCAGAATACAGCACACTAACCACTTTGGTTCAGTTCATCAAATCGCACATCATCGTTGTGTTGAACACCAATTTTACTTCTAATCTCCTTGAAAATACTGACAGCCGCCATGTGTATCTGGTTCGCATATTCCGTAAGGAACTCGCCATTCTCAACCATAGCATCATCTACCATATCCAAGTGTTCATTCTGTAGCGAAAAAGGCATCGTACACGATGTACAGAAAATGTGCAAACAATGTATTTATACATTGTTTGTTTTTCGCTATTGGGTACTTTCGCTTTTGGGTTATAGTTATAACTATAACCCAAAAGCGAAAGTACCCAATAGTGAAAATGCAATAGCAATGTGTCTCCAGATAAAATTTTTCCGCCACTTAACTCAATAGATACTTGCCACATAGTAAACGTCATGTTCTTGTGTGTTTGTAGTTTATTGTTCTCTTATCAGCTAACAGCTTATTTAGCTTATATGACACACTTGTCGTGCTATTAACTAATAACTATTATGGTATTATCTGTATTATACTATACTATACTAATATTATATACTACTAGAAGGCTCGGGGAAGGGAGTTGGTAGTTTTTTTTTCAGTTTTTATCGTATCAAAATATATCCATTCTGCAAAACGAAGATACAGCTGTTTTAAATGTAAAACACTTTATACACAATGTAATTACCACAAAACCGATCAAAATGCCGTTCTGACAACCATTGCATGATTTTCACGTGAGCGTTCCAACACCGTTGCTATGCAACCTTTTGCTTTTTACATAATTTGCACGACTGCACGTGGAACGTTGGAAATTCAAACAGACACTTTCTTAATTACTATAGGCTAGGCAAGAACTCGATACTCAGATGAAGAGCTAGTGAGCATTTGATATATGTGTTACAGTATGTAGTAGATATGGAGATTGAATTTGAATCAAAAGTCAAAAATCAAAAGTCAAAATCCCAAAGTTAAGAATCAATGTCTTCTAATTACTGAACTATAGGACCAATTCAGAGTTATAAGGTCGAGTCTTTTTCAAAATTTTACAGTTTTGGTGTTCCCCTTTGTTTGTGAATCTCAATCGACACTGTAGATTTATTGGCAAATTCTTTTATTGTTTCAACTGGAACTTGTTAAATAGTTGCAGATCAGATCAGGAGACTTGATGACAGCAGTCTTACACAAACATACGTGTTCAAAACGTTCTTCATACCAGCTAATGGACAAACAAATTACTGAAATACCAAGAGTTGTTAACTTAAAGAACAATAGTCTTCCATAGACCGTACCTTCTTGATGATCAACCCCTCAGTGCTAGTTTGCTCTTTTTGATAATGTTTTTGATGTTATTTATTAATTATATTGTCCTTGCCGGAGATCATAATATACACTTTGATAATAACCACAGGGTTGATATAATTCGATACAATCAAATACAAATCGATACAAATCGATAAATTCGATACAATTCGATACAATTCGATACAATCCAATACAATTCGAGGATGATGATTAATCACTCTACACTCGACTGTCATGTGACTTTTTCGACCCGTTCTCTAGCTGGCCCTGAACGACTATTCGAAACCCTAACCCTCTAGTCTGATCCCAACCCTAACCCTAACCCAATCCTTAACAAAAGCTAATGCGGAAACCCTTATAGTCCCTAGGCCTAACCCTAACGAGAAATTAGACTAACTTCCTTATACAGTTATACGGTCATATCGCGTGATCGAGACAGTTTTTCGCCAATATCTCGTCAGGGGAGCATTTTAACCCTATGTCATGGGGGGTGATTCGGAATCAGTGTCCGAACATACATCGATTGAAGTTTGTTTCAACTGTCGGGGCCTCTTTAGAACAATCTCGAAGATCAACAATTCGAAGATCGACAATTCTATACAATCCAATACAAATCGATACAATTCGATACAATCCAATACTTATAGTTATAGTGAATGGAAATCTAGCGTCCGTCAAAACGAAACAACGGGCACAATTCTTGTTTTTGTACGATTTTAAAGCTTTTTTCGAGTATGAGTGTTGTGCTTTATAGTTTACTAGAACGCCCGTGGTCGCAAGGAGGGAGGTAATAGTCTTATTTGATACCATAATAGCTTAATGGCAGTCAGTTTTTATCACATCAAAAAATATCCGTCTCAACCGAAGATACAGCCGATTTAAATGTAGCTCGCACTGAACACAACGTAATTATTAAGTTATTACAAAACCGATAAAAGGATAAAAATGCCGTTTTTAAAATCTTTGCACGTGCACGTGCGTGTAACGAAACCGTTGCCATGGTTACTTTGCAACCTTTTGCTTTTTACCTAATTTGCACGTGGGCGGTCGTACATACAGACAGACAAAAAGTCCCGTATCAGGCTCCAGTTGATAAAAGGCTCTTTCCCTTACAATTTGGTTCAGGAAGGTGACAAGGGAAAGTACTTCAAATTGATTAAACCGTTAAGAATTGTAAATACAATATCTCAGTGTTCCTCAATATAATACCTCAATAATACAAATATCCTAGGTCTTTAACCTTTTAACTGTAAACTTAAACTGTAACTTCAGTTGTACTCAAACCAAAAAGGGTAACCTCCCTTCAATAGCTCAACTCCTAAATATCCCCAGAAAGTATAAACAATCTCCGAGCAATCTATAAACAATTTCCTAAACTATCCTTCTAGTAATCAAAACAGAGGTGTTAAACTGAACTCTCTGATAACCAAAACAGAGATGTTAAAATGAACTCTCTGTCCCCCCAAAACTCTCTGCTCTAAACAATATCTTTAACTATCCTCCCTGTAGCTAAAACAGAGGTGTGAAACTAATCTCTCTGCACTACCCTGCTGTACTAAATGTCGTATATTAATATTTTAAAAAATACTACCCTAAAATACTGAACTAATACTGACATGCATATAAACTTATGATATAAAACCCAACGTCAATCAAGATTAGAAACTAAACTGTCTATCGAGGCCATTAGGGCTCCACTTCTCCTTGAATCTCCGAGTCACATGTACGATTTCTTTGTTCTTTAATTTACCCTGCATCTGCATTCTCGGGATTAGGTCTTAACGGAATTCCGTTTTGTCTATTCTGCTTGTAGTTATCTATGTGCCCCCTGCTTACCCCGTATTTCATTAAGGGATAACACTTTTCAATCCGCTATGGTCTTCAGTCCTTCTGCTATTGAATGACCTTTCCGGGTTCATGAACATAAAGAAATTTTCTTTATAGCGATCATGACCCGAGCAGGTGTCCCAAGTTAACATTGCTAACCACGGATCTGCAATTGTCACGAACAACCCCAAAAATTCTAATAGCACATTCCATTTCTCCTACTTTTCCCGGGAAAGGTTCTTAGATTTACTCTGCATCAATTGATCTACATTTCCGGGCTTAGGTTTTAACGGAATTCCGTTAAGCCTATTTTGTTTGTAGTTTTCTATGTGCCCTCTGCTTATCCCGTACTTCATTGGGATGACACTTTTCAATCCGCTGTATCGATGGTCTTCTGTCCTGCTGCTATTAAATGACTTTCCTGGATTCAAGATCATAAAGAAATTTTCTTTATATCGATCATGCCCAGATCAGGCGTCCCAAGTTAGCATCGCTCCCCACGGATCTGCAATTGTTACGAACAATCCCAGAAACTCCCACAGCACATCCCATTTTTTCCTCTCCTCCGTGGATATGCTGTCTGATATGAGAGAGTCTCGTAACTGCCTGTTCATAATCCTTATTGATGCCAAGGTTACGCTAATGGGTCCCTCACTTATAATAGAACCTCCAATTTATCTGTTATCTTCTTTTTCCATGAACTGCTTCCCGAATCATCCTCTTTATTTTTCCTTAGTTCTTCTTCGCCGTATTTTACTACAATTTAGTTCTTTATCATTTCCTCTTTCCGTATCTTCATCCCCTTCATGTGTTTTCCGGTCTTGCCGACAAAGGGAATTCCCTTCATCGACAGAATCTTTCACGCTTTCCACATCCTCCTTTTCGTCAGACCAGATATCTTCCATTTGGTCCTCTATTTCTACTGCAATCCGTTCGATCTCTGCATTTTCAAGTTTATACGATATTAAGCAAATACGAGCGTCAATCAAATTGTTATGAAACCCGTATCCAAACCCCTTTAGCAGTTTAGTAGCCCTCGCACAATTGCGTGAGGGCTCCCCAGCACGTGACATTACGTGTTTTAAAGGGATGCACATTTGTTTAACTTCAATCCTCTCAGGTTGCACAAGTAGCCTCAATATTTTGATTTCTTTTGTCAATCTCCGATATACCATGAGCGAGCACCATGATACCCAACACAGCAAGTGTTAAAACTATTGCGACCAGTACTGCCCATATCATAACATTTAAGTGCACATTGGACCTAATATTCCAGTCGTCCACGGGGGCAAAATACTCTCCAAAGTTTTATTATACTTTCTACAAATCCCCGTCAAAGTGTCTGTGACATTTGTTTCGTCTAGATAAAAATCTAGCGACGAAAGATTGAAGCTTAACTAAGAGGGGTACATTGGGATCGACTCCGAATTTGGAGATTCGATCAACGTGTTTCCTATCTGCACACCTTTTATAGTTTTATGGAATCCCACGCAATATATGCAGCCCCTGCCTCCGATAAGTTTACCAAACTAGGAGGCAAACCTACCTGTGTCCTGTACTAAGTACATACGTATCCAAATAGTTGTTGGTTCTTATTAAGATTCCTAGCTCTCTAGCTGTGACATATTATACTGGTAATAATTTCTACACTTCGTACGCTTGATCCTACACGTGATGCTCCCCCGCTGGATGCAAGATGTTTGATTTGAAAAATTTTCCACAGGGCAAACGTACAAATCGTTGTGTGTCTTGCAATCGTGTGTAATGAATTCGAACAGAATTCCATCCTTCAAATACAACAAATCATGTAATTCATAGTACACACACAGATCCTCCTGTCTATTTGCGACCATGCCAACTTGTGCCGCTTCAAATGTCTCTAGAAGATCTTCCCTGTCTTCTAGAGATCTTCCCTGACGAATTAACGGAACGTCTAAAATAAAATGTGCTACGTCCAAACTTGAACTCACCTCGAACAGATGCACATTTGCTAACGAATAAAGTAAACTGGGGTGCTCACTGAAAATTGTAGGGTTCCTATCTACTATTGTCTATTTTCTTCAGTGTACCTATACCTGCCATCTTAGGGGAAAGCAATACGTCGTTTTGTCCACAAAATATTGTTTATGGTCTCTTGGGTCTCGTCAAACCCCTTTTCTACCATTCTACTCATTCCATGAAAGAGTATCATGCACTCCTCTCTCTTAAAATGCTCACTCAACTTTGCAGTAATTACTGTGACAAATCCTACCACCTTCTCATCCAAAGCTGTTATTTCATCTTGCAAATGCAAGATGATACTCTTCATGCCTGAGATGGTCTTTTCGTTTTCTGACACGTGTTTCTTAATCTTGTAGATCTAATATTCTGTCACACCCTCCATAGCCAGGGAAATCCCTGTGCCTGTCATGAATGAATTTTTTCTGTCTTTCTGTCTTTTTTCTGTCTTTGTCCTCGTTATCTTCCGCATCATTTTCGACGAAGGCTCTTAAAATATTGAGCCTTGTTGCTATAAAATCATTGAACTTATCGTTTAAATTGACGATCATTTGGCTCATGTCCGATCTGAAATCCAGATCGTCCATCGCGTTGCATTCCACGATGCGATTAAATGCCGATTGCAGGGGCTTCAAAATTTCCATCGGGTGGGCAGTTAGATTATCATAGAAATTATTATCTTGTCATTCACCATGACCGCTCTGCCCGACTTTTCTATTTTACACCAATCTCAGATGCAATGATGTCCCTCTGAGATCCTTTCTTTTGAAACGCGGCACTTGCCGTGCGGCACTTGCCGTGCCCAACAATATCCATATCACCAAGTTGTAAATAACCATGTTCTAATTGATGTCAAGATTAGTATCACTGTAAGAAAAGTGTTGTTATGATTCGAACTGAAAAGAGGTAGCTAATCTCCAGAATACGGTAGGAATCAACACTCAGGCGCCTAGTAATACAATATGACTGTTAAAACAAAAAGGCAACAACAAGGTTTATCATTACAATATACGTACTCTTCAAATTCCTGATACCGTGATTTTGTTGTAAATATTTAAACAAAATACCATTGTGCACAAAGTCGATCAAAATATCGATCGTTAATCTTTGCATGTGCACGTGCGCATTCAACACCGTTACCATGGTAACTATGCAACTTCTATCTGTTTGCCTAATTTGCACGTGGGCGGTCGTACATACTGATACAGACAGACAGAAAAAATCTTTTGAATTATAAATATAACTAGAAAGCCCGTGGTAACAGGGACGAAACTAGTAGTATTCTTTGAAAGAAAGTTTTAATCGCATCAAAAAATATCCATCTCAACCGAAGATACAGCCGATTTAAATATAAAACAATTTAAACACAACGTAATTACTTAGTATTGGAACAGCAATACTAAGGTAATTACCACAAAACCGATCAAAATGACGTTAAAAAGTTAAAACAATATTTGCACGTGCATGTGTGCATTAAAACACCGTTGCTATAGACAAAGTTCCAGACAACCGGAAAAATGTGTCATTGATTTGGACTATGCTGATGACATAGCAGGCATGGATGACACTGTCGAGGGACTGCAAGAAACAACGGACAATATTGCGAAATACTGTGGGCTTGGGGGTTTAAAGATGAACGCAAAGAAAACAGAGATCATGGTAATTGGGAAAGATACGTCGCAGCACCCACTCCCAGAGAATAGGACCATAGATATTACTGTCGATGGAAACTCTGCAAAGCAGGTCACTCAATTCACTTATTTGGGTGCCAAAATTACATCGGATGGCAAGATCGATAAAGAAATAAGTGTCAGGATTGGAAAAGCAACCGGAGCTTTTAACCAACTCAATAACATTTGGAAGAATAAGAACATAAGCATTAACAACAAAGTGCGAATCTACATCGCAGCTGTTCTTACCATTCTGACCTATGGAAGTGAGATATGGAACACGACTCAAGTGCAGACAAGAAGATTAGAGTCTTTCCATCAGTACTGCTTACGCAGAATACTGAGAGTGAGGTGGTTCCATCGAGTAAGAAATGAAGATGTTTTAAGAAGGGCTTCAATAACTGCTCTTACTGACATAATAGCAACAAAACGGCTACGTTGGTTTGGACATGTCAGTAGAATGCCTGAAGATCGGTTACCTAACTATCTACTTGAATGGAAACCCAAGCATGGGAAACGATCAAGAGGCAGGCCTAGGAAGAGCTTAAATGATGTATTTATTGAAGATGCTGAGCAGAGATTGGATCGTAATGGACTCACGATTGATTGTATGAGAAGATTGGCTGCAGATCGAAAAGGATGGAGAAATATTACCCGCCGAAGTTGTATAATACAAAGTAATGACGCAGATGACGCAGACTAATCCTTTTGGATGGAGATCTCGCCATGTAACATGTAACATGTATGTATGCTATGGAACCTTTTGGTTGTTACCTAAATTCCTATTTTTCATCTAATTTGCACGTGGGCGGTCGTACAGTGTACAGAATTCTCTGAATTATAAGTAAGATATTGATAGAAAGCCCGTGGTAACAGGGATGAAGCTAGTAGTATTCTTTGAAATAAAGTTTTAATCGCATCAAAAAATATCCATCCGAACCGAAGATACAGCCGATTTAAATGTAAAACGTAATTACCACAGAACCGATCAAAATGCCGTTCCAACAATCTTTGCATGTGCAAGTGCTCATTCCAACACCGTCGCAAATTTGCACGTGGGCGGTCGTACGTACATACACTGTAATAAATAGTCACATACCTGTAGTCCAATAACTGGTCCCCCCTGTTGGTAGAGGTACGGTGCTAACATGGGTAGAAGCTCACTAAACCAAGTTAGAACGTTCTTCAGATAAACTGGTTCTGACGTCCTGAAACTGTACAACAGCTTAGTGTAACAGTGTAACGTGTAGAGTTAACTAATCTTGTGAGTTTAGTGTAAAATGTAGAGTTAACTAATCTTGTGAGCTAATTACGGTAAAATGTAGAGTTAACTAATCTTGTGAGCTTAGTGTAAAATGTAGAGTTAACTAATCTTGTGAGTTTAGTGTAAAATGTAGAGTTAACTAATCTTGTGAGCTAATTACGGTAAAATGTAGAGTTAACTAATCTTGTGAGCTTAGTATAACATGTAGAGTTAACTAATCTTGTGAGTTTAGTGTAAAATGTAGAGTTAACTAATCTTGTGAGCTAATTACGGTAAAATGTAGAGTTAACTAATCTTGTGTGCTTATTGACAGACCACAGTTCACAGTATTGATGAGTATATTCAGCAGTAAATATATGTCCTGATAATACACCTCCTGAAGATACACACTAAACACTACACAGTAGGAAGAGTCGTCTTAAAATCAAACACTAGAAGATGATTGTAGTTATTGCAAGTCTAAAGAATATATTAATATATAAACTATGCAGTGTATTGTTAGTAGAGCACGTGCGAGCTACCCTTCACGTGCAAGTTCCACTGCCTCCTAACGTCACACTACCTCACTACAGTTACCTGGCGGCTGGCTCAGTAGTTACTGTAGACCTGGTTGTAGCTTGCTTACCTTATTGTTTTACTCTGTGTTGGTAGCCAGGATGGGAAACCGCCGAACTCGAACTCTGCCGCAATGAACGGACCTGCATAATAAATATATGAGGGTATTTACTTTATGTCAAGCTCATTAATCAATTAATTGATGGAATGGGGATTGGGATATTGTATAATTTACATATTCAGACTTTGCCATATTAATGTACCGTGATAACAAGTAATGATACACAGTTAGAACACAGTCAAATTAGTGTTTTATCTAACCTGGTCTGAGTAAGACTAGAATTCCAAGATCCGAACAGAGTTTAAGGTAAGAGAAGAGATCCTTCCTTCCAGAGAAGTCTATTCGTCCTTTCACCGGTTCATGTTGGTTCCACGGTATGTACCTGCAATTTCATCAGGAGATTACAAGTTCGCTAGGAGATTACAAGTTCGCTAGGAGATTATAAGTTCACTAGGAGATTACAAGTTCGCTAGGAGATTATAAGTTCACTAGGAGATTACAAGTTCGCTAGAAGATTACAAGTTCACTAGGAGATTACAAGTTCGCTAGGAGATTACAAGTTCACTAGGAGATTACAAGTTCGCTAGGAGATTACAAGTTCACTAGGAGATTACAAGTTCACTAGGAGATTACAAGTTCGCTAGGAGATTACAAGTTCACTAGGAGATTACAAGTTCACTAGGAGATTACAAGTTCGCTAGGAGATTACAAGTTCACTAGGAGATTACAAGTTCGCTAGGAGATTACAAGTTCGCTAGGAGATTACAAGTTCACTAGGAGATTACAAGTTCACTAGGAGATTACAAGTTCGCTAGGAGATTACAAGTTCACTAGGAGATTACAAGTTCGCTAGGAGATTACAAGTTCACCAGGAGATTACAAGTTCACCAGGAGATTACAAGTTCGCTAGGAGATTACAAGTTCACTAGGAGATTACAAGTTCACCAGGAGATTACAAGTTCGCTAGGAGATTACAAGTTCACTAGGAGATTACAAGTTCACTAGGAGATTACAAGTTCACCAGGAGATTACAAGTTCACCAGGAGATTACAAGTTCACTAGGAGATTACAAGTTCACCAGGAGATTACAAGTTCACTAGGAGATTACAAGTTCACCAGGAGATTACAAGTTCGCTAGGAGATTACAAGTTCACTAGGAGATTACAAGTTCACCAGGAGATTACAAGTTCGCTAGGAGATTACAAGTTCACTAGGAGATTACAAGTTCACTAGGAGATTACAAGTTCACCAGGAGATTACAAGTTCACCAGGAGATTACAAGTTCACTAGGAGATTACAAGTTCACCAGGAGATTACAAGTTCACTAGGAGATTACAAGTTCACCAGGAGATTACAAGTTCGCTAGGAGATTACAAGTTCACTAGGAGATTACAAGTTCACTAGGAGATTACAAGTTCACCAGGAGATTACAAGTTCGCTAGGAGATTACAAGTTCACCAGGAGATTACAAGTTCACTAGGAGATTACAAGTTCACCAGGAGATTACAAGTTCACTAGGAGATTACAAGTTCACCAGGAGATTACAAGTTCGCTAGGAGATTACAAGTTCACTAGGAGATTACAAGTTCACCAGGAGATTACAAGTTCACTAGGAGATTACAAGTTCACTAGGAGATTATAAGTTCACTAGGAGATTACAAGTTCACTAGGAGATTACAAGTTCACTAGGAGATTACAAGTTCACTAGGAGATTACAAGTTCACTAGGAGATTACAAGTTCGCTAGGAGATTACAAGTTCACTAGGAGATTACAAGTTCACTAGGAGATTACAAGTTCACTAGGAGATTACAAGTTCACTAGAAGATTACAAGTTCGCTAGGAGATTACAAGTTCACTAGGAGATTACAAGTTCACTAGGAGATTACAAGTTCACCAGGAGATTACAAGTTCACTAGGAGATTACAAGTTCACTAGGAGATTACAAGTTCACTAGGAGATTATAAGTTCACTAGGAGATTACAAGTTCACTAGGAGATTACAAGTTCACTAGGAGATTACAAGTTCACTAGGAGATTACAAGTTCACTAGGAGATTACAAGTTCGCTAGGAGATTACAAGTTCACTAGGAGATTACAAGTTCACTAGGAGATTACAAGTTCACTAGGAGATTACAAGTTCACTAGGAGATTACAAGTTCACCAGGAGATTACATGTTCACTAGGAGATTACAAGTTCACTAGGAGATTACAAGTTCACTAGGAGATTACAAGTTCACTAGGAGATTACAAGTTCACTAGGAGATTACAAGTTCACTGGGAGATTACAAGTTCACTAGGAGATTACAAGTTCACTAGGAGATTACAAGTTCACTAGGAGATTACAAGTTCACTGGGAGATTACAAGTTCACCAGGAGATTACAAGTTCACTAGGAGATTACAAGTTCACTAGGAGATTATAAGTTCACTAGGAGATTACAAGTTCACTAGGAGATTACAAGTTCACTAGGAGATTACAAGTTCACTAGGAGATTACAAGTTCACTAGGAGATTACAAGTTCACTAGGAGATTACAAGTTCACTAGGAGATTACAAGTTCACTAGGAGATTACAAGTTCACTAGGAGATTACAAGTTCACTAGGAGATTACAAGTTCACTAGGAGATTACAAGTTCACTGGAGATTACAAGTTCACTAGGAGATTACAAGTTCACTAGGAGATTACAAGTTCACTAGGAGATTACAAGTTCACTAGGAGATTACAAGTTCACTAGGAGATTACAAGTTCACTAGGAGATTACAAGTTCACTAGAAGATTACAAGTTCGCTAGGAGATTACAAGTTCACTAGGAGATTACAAGTTCACTAGGAGATTACAAGTTCACCAGGAGATTACAAGTTCACTAGGAGATTACAAGTTCACCAGGAGATTACAAGTTCACCAGGAGATTACAAGTTCACTAGGAGATTACAAGTTCACTAGGAGATTACAAGTTCACTAGGAGATTACAAGTTCACCAGGAGATTACAAGTTCACCAGGAGATTACAAGTTCACCAGGAGATTACAAGTTCACCAGGAGATTACAAGTTCACCAGGAGATTACAAGTTCACTAGGAGATTACAAGTTCACTAGGAGATTACAAGTTCGCTAGGAGATTACAAGTTCACCAGGAGATTACAAGTTCGCTAGGAGATTACAAGTTCACAAGGAGATAACAAGTTCACTAGGAGATTACAAGTTCACTAGGAGATTACAAGTTCACCAGGAGATTACAAGTTCACTAGGAGATTACAAGTTCACCAGGAGATTACAAGTTCACCAGGAGATTACAAGTTCGCTAGGAGATTACAAGTTCACTAGGAGATTACAAGTTCGCTAGGAGATTACAAGTTCACTAGGAGATTACAAGTTCGCTAGGAGATTACAAGTTCACTAGGAGATTACAAGTTCACTAGGAGATTACAAGTTCACCAGGAGATTACAAGTTCACCAGGAGATTACAAGTTCACCAGGAGATTACAAGTTCACTAGGAGATTACAAGTTCGCTAGGAGATTACAAGTTCACAAGGAGATAACAAGTTCACAAGGAGATTACAAGTTCACTAGGAGATTACAAGTTCACCAGGAGATTACAAGTTCACAAGGAGATAACAAGTTCACTAGGAGATTACAAGTTCACTAGGAGATTACAAGTTCACTAGGAGATTACAAGTTCGCTAGGAGATTACAAGTTCACCAGGAGATTACAAGTTCACCAGGAGATTACAAGTTCACTAGGAGATTACAAGTTCGCTAGGAGATTACAAGTTCACAAGGAGATAACAAGTTCACTAGGAGATTACAAGTTCACTAGGAGATTACAAGTTCACCAGGAGATTACAAGTTCACAAGGAGATAACAAGTTCACTAGGAGATTACAAGTTCACTAGGAGATTACAAGTTCACTAGGAGATTACAAGTTCGCTAGGAGATTACAAGTTCACCAGGAGATTACAAGTTCACTAGGAGATTACAAGTTCGCTAGGAGATTACAAGTTCACAAGGAGATAACAAGTTCACTAGGAGATTACAAGTTCACTAGGAGATTACAAGTTCGCTAGGAGATTACAAGTTCACCAGGAGATTACAAGTTCACCAGGAGATTACAAGTTCACCAGGAGATTACAAGTTCACTAGGAGATTACAAGTTCACCAGGAGATTACAAGTTCACTAGGAGATTACAAGTTCGCTAGGAGATTACAAGTTCACTAGGAGATTACAAGTTCACTAGGAGATTACAAGTTCGCTAGGAGATTACAAGTTCACTAGGAGATTACAAGTTCACTAGGAGATTACAAGTTCACTAGGAGATTACAAGTTCGCTAGGAGATTACAAGTTCACTAGGAGATTACAAGTTCACTAGGAGATTACAAGTTCACCAGGAGATTACAAGTTCACCAGGAGATTACAAGTTCACTAGGAGATTACAAGTTCGCTAGGAGATTACAAGTTCACTAGGAGATTACAAGTTCACTAGGAGATTACAAGTTCACCAGGAGATTACAAGTTCACTAGGAGATTACAAGTTTGCTAGGAGATTACATGTTCACCAGGAGATTACAAGTTCACTAGGAGATTACAAGTTCACCAGGAGATTACAAGTTCACTAGGAGATTACAAGTTCACTAGGAGATTACAAGTTCACTAGGAGATTACAAGTTCACTAGGAGATTACAAGTTCACTAGGAGATTACAAGTTCGCTAGGAGATTACAAGTTCACTAGGAGATTACAAGTTCACCAGGAAATTACAAGTTCACTAGGAGATTACAAGTTCACCAGGAGATTACAAGTTCACTAGGAGATTACAAGTTCGCTAGGAGATTACAAGTTCACTAGGAGATTACAAGTTCACTAGGAGATTACAAGTTCACTTGGAGATTACAAGTTCACTTGGAGATTACAAGTTCACCAGGAGATTACAAGTTCACCAGGAGATTACAAGTTCACCAGGAGATTACAAGTTCACCAGGAGATTACAAGTTCACTAGGAGATTACAAGTTCACTAGGAGATTACAAGTTCGCTAGAAGATTACAAGTTCACTAGGAGATTATAAGTTCGCTAGAAGATTACAATTTCACTAGGAGATTATAAGTTCACCAGGAGATTACAAGTTCACTAGGAGATTACAAGTTCACTAGGAGATTACAAGTTCACTAGAAGATTACAAGTTCGCTAGGAGATTACAAGTTCACCAGGAGATTACAAGTTCACCAGGAGATTACAAGTTCACCAGGAGATTACAAGTTCGCTAGGAGATTACAAGTTCGCTATGAGATTACAAGTTCACTAGGAGATTACAAGTTCACTAGGAGATTACAAGTTCGCTAGGAGATTACAAGTTCACCAGGAGATTACAAGTTCGCTAGGAGATTAC